AGCACGTCCATTCCCACGAAATGATTCTGCCTCTATGTCTGTGGGGCGTCGTTTTAAACATGACGACGATATTTTCAATATCCGTTTTCGAGAAAAATAAAGGCACAACCCGCACGATCGTTAAAAACGTGTTGAGGGAGTTTCAAACGTGAGTTTGTCGCAATTTGTGTGCGAGTCGTGCATCAAGAAAAATCCTGATGTCATTGATTTGTTTGCCAATAAAAGAAGACGAATGTTTGCACCCGGAAAATTATCAAGCTGTCAAATTAGCTCTTAAAAAAAAAAATCTGAAAAAAACCCCGACCTACCGACCCTTCTCCTCGATTGTGGGTCGGGTTTGGTGAAACAAAGATATTTTTAAGGTCAGCCTTATGGTGTGGGGAGGCATCACTGTTGCTGGAGGAACGGCTTTACATGTTGTTGCAGGGCGTGTTACAGGCCAGTACTACCGGGACAACATCTTGGCAGTCCATGTTGTGACGTTCGCACGACGTCATGGCCGCCGTTTCATCTTCCAGGATGACAACGCAAGATGTCACAGGGCCAGGATCGTTACAGGTTACCTCCAACAACAGAACATCACCACATTACCTTGGCCAGCACTGAGTCCCGACCTCTCCCCCATCGAGCATGTCTGGGACATGCTTGGACAGAGGTTACGTCAACGTCAACAACGTCCTGCCAATGTCCAAGAACTTGCTGCTGCGTTGCAACAGGAATGGGACAATCTGGACCAAAATGACCTTAGACGTCTCATTAGGAGTATGCCACGTCGGATCAATGCTTGTTTGGCAAACAGAGGAGGATTTACCCGTTACTGACTTGGTTGTGATGCTGTGGTAACTTTGCTGTTTGACCCCGGGTATCATTTTACCCTTATAATGGTCAGTCTGTGCCTTACTTAGTCTAACGATCATTTGGAATAAATCGATGAATGTGAACTTCATTTCATTTTGTCATTTGTTTCTTCGTCAGTTTCATTAGGTGACTTTAATAACACTTAAAAATCAAATATCCCCTACTTTTTTTGAATAGTATATATAAGAACAAGAAGTTTTAGTATTTGTTTTCATGATTTTCAATGACATAAAGAAAATAATTTTATAGATTAATTTACAAAAAGAGAGACCCCTCAAATCACTAAATGAAATGTACTTTTAAAGTCAAGAATGTAAAAGCAGAATTTTTTAAATAAGGAATCTCTAAGTTGTGTTATTTTGATGGCTGACAATTGACATCCTATGTTGGGGAGTTACCCATTGCACTGCAGATTTCAGATTTATTGTAAAAGCAAAAAGTCATGATTTCAAATCCACAAAAGCGCCTCAAAGGTCACCTATCTAACTAATAAAAATTTAGTCCAAGAAAGTGTTCAACAGAAATAAAACTCTACACACCATTTTTCTCTCTCAAGATAACAAAAAAAAATCTTTTTGTCGGTTATCAATGGCAAAGCAAAATGGAGTTTTAAGTCCAATCAACACAATCTAGGTCATTTCAGGACTAATATATGGTATATCTTTAGCAGTTGAAGGAACCTGCACAAAACCCATTGGGTTAGGCTGGGCGACCTTACTCTTTGTCACATAGCATGTGATTGAAACTACAACGCATCAATTAAAGATACATTATGTAAGATTTAGATAAAGAACTAGCCATTCTTGCTATAACAGTTCGAAAGTAGATGATGTAAAATGAATAATTTGAAATTCCATTCAAATTACTCTATTGCAAGCGAAGATATTAGCCCTTGAAGGTTTGACAGACGTGTGCAATAATTTCAAGCACCGTACTGGTTGATCGAAGCTAGGTCTCGGTCCTCCATATTTGATTAAATCAAAGAATCGCTGAACCATTCTAATCTATTTAATATCAGAGAAATCTGATGCCATCAAGAGTTGATTAAGGCCTGGATCAGTTAATTAATATCTAATTAATACTTTAGAAAACATTTCAGACCTAAAGAAAGACCTGCAATAGGCAGATTTAGCTCTTGCATAGTGCATGTTTAATGAAATTAATGAAAACCCTTTGTATCTCAAGCACACATTGCATTAAATCACTGTATTTAGTTGACAGGAACCATATCGAAATTCAGAGTCCACTCATTAATTAGTTATTGCCTACTTACCTTATCATCCTCACAAGCCTACAGGTCTTTTAAGATTTGTTTTTCAAACTTGTCGAGATTGTTTAACTAGTGATTAGGATGAAACTAATAGCCCATTCAAAACAGTTAAACTGGTTTGTTTTAAGAACCCGGACATCTTTTAAACTAGCTCAAATATAAGCATCTGAATGAGCAACTAGTCCTAGTAGTTATTATATTACCTTTTTCATCAGAACCTTGTAATTACTCTATGTGCCAAGATTTGTTGACACTTTTCTTTTATAAATAAGCATCCAGGAACCAAATTGAAATTCAAAATCACATCAATTATTAACAATAGTTATTGCCTCCGCCATCAAAACATTGTATATACTCTAAACAGATAAGAATTTTTAAGTATACCTTTTTTCAATCTTGCCAAGACTGCTTAATTATTCCTAAGAATGAATTCAATCAAAAGTCATAGACTCACATCATTTCTTTGCAGAGGTGTTGCCCTTGTCACAAAAACACTGTTTTTGACCATTTGTTTTTTGTTTGTTTTTTTTTTTAAAAATGTGCTAGGATTACTTTTATTTATGAATTTTGCACTGTGATTCAGTTAGTACAGAATTAATACCTGTGTCATCTAAACCTTGTACTTCACTCTTTGGGTCAGATTTGTTAGACTGCTCGGGATTGTTCTACTAGTTATGATGATAAATCCTATCAATTATTAGTTACCCCTCAATTTGTTTTGCAGTTAAGGCTTTGTCGTATTTTAAATCTGAGATCCGATTTCAAGAGACTCAAGATAAAATAAATCGAAATGTTTAAAACCCTGCACTTGATGTTGAGGATCGAGCTGCTAAAATTGATGAGTGGATGGATTTATATGGAAAAATTTGGGACACAGTTATGTTTTAGAATATTATCTTTTGGTTGAATAAAATTTTAAAGTAATAAATTCATCTGCCATTTCATAAACATTGGATATCTAGCAAAAACTAAAAGCAAATTGTCTATGTCACCTGTGTAGGTGTAATGTAATTAATGTTTCTGTAAGCAAATCTGATTAACTGTTGTTACTTTCCCCCTACATTCTGTAATCACATAATTTATATCTATTCATATGTAGTCTGAACTAGAAATAATGATTTCAGTTCTGTTTGACAAATGTCAGACACTGACTTAACTGACAAACTAATATGGTACCTAGAATTTTAAGCTTTGTGTTGGTTGGACACGTAATAAACTTAAAGGTATCAAGAAAAACACCAAAAAAAGACAAATTTGCGTACAAAATAACAAAAATGAAATTATGGGGCTTAACATCCTACTGTTCTGCTCCGACTGGGCTAATGGAGACAGGCATATGCCATACAGTGTGCCATCAGGGAAATTTTACCCTGACAGCCGTGCTACAGCCTACTCTTATATCGAATTCCACCTGCCAAGGGAAATTTTACGTGCATGCTAATGTGTACATGTTTTTCAACCCATCTGAACGACTATACGTTGTCCCTTGCCAGGCTGTCTCTGTCCTGCACTATTGACAAGGAGGAACCTGATGAACTTTCTTGGCTAATGCAAGTTAGCGAGCCTAGATCTTTCTCATTGAGCCACCGTGTCTCCCACGAAATGACAAGACACCAGAAAGATTGCATGTAGTCCAAGGTCATTTTTATCACTTTTATCTCACGTTTAAAACCATTTTGAATTTATTCTTCTTAGTATGTAATTTACCCATTTTTTGACAACAAGCTATCATGGTACTGGAGGGAAATTTATTTCTTTATTGTATTCCTGTTTTTCTATTTGTACTGTACCCTATACAAACCCTAAATTGTAGCTAGCTAGTAAAGTAGTTTGGGTATATTTTTAAATATAAAAGAAGTATTATCACTTTACTGTCACTCATGACTAGTAAAAAAAAATGTGTTCAGTTTAAAACTGCAATAATCATTGCTCAGAAATGTTTTCATAAAATACTTTTTGGTTTTCTGTTTATATTATATGTAGATAGATCTACAAAAAAGGAATATACAAATTTAATTAAACTGTAAGCTTATCATTTGTTTTATCTTTGTTTTGTTTATATAGTTCTCCTATATCATTAATTAATTATCAAAAATCCAAGAACCGGTACTATCCTCAATAGAGCAAATCAGAACTTCTAATAAAATTAGGGCTGTAATTTGTACGACATACAAATCTGATTTGCTTCAAACAAAAAAACTGTTCTCATGTTTCATGTACACATCCAGTGTTGAGATTAGAAACGATTTGATGTTCCCTGTTCACACTGCATGTCATAATTTAAACTTAAACCAGTAAACAAGTTGACTTCCACTGAATCCTTTGAATCTTGAAACAAAATTTTACTTGAAATAACACATCAGATCAACCTAATTCAATACTTTATTATAACCTAAACAAAGGAGGTTTCGCTCATTATAAAGGTCTTTGCATACAATCTAATTTGAGCACCCCTGGTGCCAAGGCATAGCTAACCGAACACGGCTAATCGCAAATTATATTTTTACTGGGCAAAATACGCGATGATAAAATAATAGCATTAACGAATGCCATGGCTACTATGGCTGGGATAATGCTAATAAATAGGCCTAGACTAGCTATGAATCAGTATAGTATAGCCTAAGTAGGCCTTTAAAATTAAAATAAAATAAAAACTGTGTGGCAATAGGGTCAAGGAAATACTCAATGGGGGTAGGATCTATCGGTCTGACTCCTGAGTCTACTTCCAGATTTAGTCTGAATAGACTGCTTGCCCTTTTCAATGCAGCTTGAAAATGAATAAATAAAATTGATGTACACGGTTGACGACGGTAAATACTAAATAGTATTCTATAGGATATCAAAAATTTATAATAAAGTAAATTAGTAATACCTTGCTGTACACAACATGTCGTGGTTTGTGGTCTTGATCGAATTCCATTGTGCTCGAGTTGATTGTCATTCTCGAATGGTTTATTAACCACCATAACTAACAGGTTGCTGTACAACTGACTACACTTTTCACAGTCTACGCTTGCTAGTGTATTTAATGTCAAACATTTTCCCGCAAGCTTTTACAGGCGGAAGTCAATTTCTGTCTGCTCTTTCTCCTCGATCAACCAGACGAGTCTATTAGAAAACATTTGGCCTTCCCGACACATTCAGAATAATCCATTTCCTTTCGATTGAAAATTAGACGGGCTTTTTATATATAATTTATTGATATAACAATTTTTAGTGGATTATATCTTTGATAGAATTCAGGCAAGACAGATTTAAATTGTCTATATATATGAGAAAAATTAAAAAGTTATTTCCAAATTTGTTGCATAATCTTCCAAATATTTACGCTGACATTTTATTGCTTTAAATCTTCTTAATCCTAGTGCAAAAACGGAAAATTTGACCTTTTGACCTCCGGAGTCACAAAGATCAAAGGTGAAGTTAGCAAGTTTACATTTTTGTTGAAAGTGTGATTACCTTCGATCATTTTCAGCATGTTTTCATGATACAAGAATGGCTGCGCATTCAGTGCAAATGGCCCCATTTGACCCCTAATATCTCGAAAACGCCCCAACGGCGGACTGATTACCACTCGGCATCGTATTCTACGCAAAATTTTACTCAAGAAAATTGGGTCTGGTTTTGTGCCCATTTGGTGGACCCCCCCCCCCCCCGCACTGAGCATCCAGACTATACATATTAACGGGATATTAAAGGGTCAGTTTAGGATCCAATTATGTTGGTAATTTTTAGCGTGGGCGAATTATGTCGTCACCCTGTCTCTCGGTCAACATTGGCTTGTGAACGCTATGGAGGCTCATAGGCGTAGGAGCCAGGGGGGCGGGGGGGGGGGGCAGCTGCCCCCCTAACTTTCGGGCAAGCTGACATTTCGGGCAGAAGGTTAAAATTTAAAAAAAATGTTTTATTTCATCTACTTAGCAAAATAAAGTGCCCGAAATCTAATAAAACACTAATAAAACGCGTTTGCGGCCGTCAAATATTCCAAAATTTTCTTCGGGGGTTCATACAAGGTCAGTTCTGCTTCTTCACCTCTCGAAGAAAACCGGCGCCGCTGTCTGTAAACCTGAAATTTTTTCGGGGATTTCTAGTTTTTCTTCCCTAACTGTCATTCAGCTTTAATAACACACTAATTTTACTCTTCTTTTAATTGAATACCGCAAATTTGTACTGAGTTGACTATGGATTAAAACATTTTGTCTGGAGCCACTCTACTTTGTGCGACATTTTTCGAGCATCGATTATTATTTGTGAATGCAGCTGCATTGGATGGTTGGAATTCAGAATGGGATTTCGGTTACAAAACCATTGGGTACGTGAGTTGCTTACACGGGCTAGAATAGCAGAAAACGCATTTGCTGTGGTTAGATTTTCAAACTTTTCTCCGGGAGGGTTAGGCCCCCGAGGGTGAGGCCCCCCCATACCCCGCGACGATTGATTGGTTGTTTGGAATTCGGGTCAGCCAGGTAGGCTATATTGGACCAAATTGAAGTTGCTTTATTCACAGACTGGAATAGCAGGAAAACGCGTATGCAGCTGTTAAATTTTCAAAATTTTCTTCAAACCCGAAATTTTTTCGGGCATTTCGGGTTCTGCCCCCCTAACTGTCATCGAGCCCGTACGCCTATGTGGAGGCTACAGTAAAAACAGTTGTTGACGGATTTGTTCAAATTTGGTGTGAAGCATCGTTGTTATAAGGGGACGAACCCGGTCGATATTCAGCATTCTATGACTTTTCTTTCCAGAGTTATTAAAACCCCGTGAATGCGATAGAGGATATAGTTTTTAACGGATTTCCTTCAAATTTGGTTGCAAGTATTGGGACCATGAGAGAAAGAACCCTATTGATATTCACTGTTCCAGAGTTATCCCCCTTTGCCGAAATCTTGTGAAATGATAGGAAAGGCTACAAATTTTTTATTTTGTTTCGTATCCAAGTCGTAAGAAATCCCATTCTGGCGATGACCATACCTCACAATGAACAATTTATGACGGAGGTAAAACAGTTCTAGAAAATAATTCTTTAGAGAGATTTTTGTCAAAAGCTAATTAGAAAAACGAAATAAAAAAATGAAAATTATAGTTAACAGTTGAGTGAAACGAAAATTAACTATGTTAAAGATACTTTTAATTATCAAAGCAAATAATTCAGTATTCACTTTTTATGATAAGCACTTGTGTCGTACCCAGAAGGATAACTTCGCATGCTTTAATTTTATGTGGAATAGTGAAAAATGACAAAAATAAGGGAGCTAGGGTAAATATGACAATTGTGGAAATAATTTGATTGACATTAATAATAATAATTTGTACCGGTATATTTGCAGGGCTAGAAATTTACGCAAATCTCCGAATCTAATTCGCGCAAGGATTCTCGCAAGAGCTTACGCTGCGAATCGATAAGGATTCGCGTAAAAATTTTCCCCCCCCAAAAAAAAAAAAAAAAATTGGTGAATTGTCGAGTCCGACTATTGAATGACAGTCAGGGTCAGTATTCATCAGGGGACTGTATTTTGTCGGCTTTAGCCAATTTATGTTTAAAACAATGAATTGGCCACTAGGGTATCGTAAATAATCAATCTACTTTTGGCTAAATTACAACGTGTTAATTAAGAAAACAATCAACTTGCTTGTCGGCTACAACAACAGTCATACCTTAGTGAGAATCGGCCATATGTGGTTCGTAATCCGAGTGAGAGAGAGAGAGAAATGGAGTTTAACGCCCACTCGACACAAACTAGGTCATTTCGGGACTAACATATGGTTTAATTTTATTTCAAAATTCGCTTGCGCGTAGGGGTCTTTAGCAGTGGGAGAAACCCCACGAGGTTGGACAGGCGAACCATCTCCTTGTCACGTACAACCGGGGATTCGAAACCACGCCAGTTGACTCAATGACAGACTTTATGATACAGCGTGCACACTCTAACCATTCAGCCACCCCCCCCCCCGTAATCCGAGTAATTAGCACATTTAATGGTGATATTGATAATCCGGTAAAATAAACAAAACAAGCTTGCTAATTATTCATAATAGGTTCAGTAAAATAAGCCACAATTTCCAAATTGTGCGTCTTCCACGCTCAGTCCGTGGGAATTCCAGGTACCGGTAGATATTAAAATAATAACTGGATAATACATTGATGGATTCACTGACCAGTTGTTGGGTAAATTTAAATCTTCATTGAATATAATCCACTGACAGAACATCGAATTCACGGAGAGAGAAACAGCTAGTGGATAATTTCGCGAGAGAATCTCCATTGTCGAATTCCAATGACACGTGACATATCGGTTGGAATTATGTCAATAAACCAGTTCTAAATAATAGCGTTTAACGTTATGATTTTTTATTTTATACACTACTGACAGAGGCTTAATTTTAAAAATATTATTGAAGGCTATATATACATGTAGTCGTACAGAATTTTATTTTATAGCAATTTCAGTTATGGTTGTCAAGTGATCATTGTGCCGTTTGTCTATATCATCGACGAATGAATAAAAACTTTTGCAAGTTACGTGACTGTTCGGTGATGGACAAAGGACTACAAATTGTGGCGTATCAGCTTATTTTGGCTACGGCATTTTCTCATACTGGCAATAAACAATAAACACAATAAACACAATTCTACGCAAAATTGTACTCTAGAAAAGTTGGGTCTGGTTGTGTGTCCATTAATGAATAGTGCGGATATTTGTTCAAATTATTTTATGGCATGAAATGAAATGGTGATCTAACGAAGGCTATCATATGCTATGTATAGTGTGCTATGGGTATGGCGTATGCCGGTATGGGTGAAATGTATGCTTGGACAGCGACGTTTGTGCCTATAATAAACTTAATCAAATTACAACTGTTAGTCTTTATTTTACGTAGACACCAACCTGTATAGGCCTACTGTGTTTCATTTTTTTTAATTTATTTTTTTTTTTTTTTTTTTGTCCCATTCGAAAGAATAGACACTGTTCCTTGTCAAACTGTTGTTAGTAAAGGAAACGTGACAGTTATATGACCCCAAAAAATGTTACCTCAACACTTTTACCGCCTTTTTGAACTGCATTTGGAACATAATGAGTGGCAGACTGCATTTGGAACATATGATTTGACAACTAATCCCCATTAAATATTCGCTTGGACACTGAAGAAATAAACTTTCGCACCACCGCCATGTAACAGTTTGATGATTTGACTTTAACAATGAAAAAAGATTGGTTCTGTTATCTCTTTTAAAAAAAAAATATATATATATATATAAAAAATACAGCGTTTCTCACTCAGATTTGACACCTCGTTTATCACATCTATTTCAAGCTTTACTTCTGTTACCCTTCTTATACTCTTAATATACTACACGAGATCATATTAGGACTATACAGTGGCTCCCGGGACATATGGGTGTAAATGTGCAAATTCTTCAGTACCTAAATTTTACATCATCTACTATTTGACACATTTCATTCAAATTTCATAGGAAGTAAATCAAAATATTGTGAATGCTCTTTGAAAAAAATGAGGTGGCTAAGTGCGTTAGACGCTGGCTTGCTATCCGGGGGTCGCGTGTTCGATCCCTGCATTGGCCGACGTGGTTTCCTCTTGTCAGTGGTGCAGGATGGAGGGCGTGCACGTAAAAGATCCCTTGGCAGTTGGAATTCGATATAAGAGTAGGCCATAGAGGCGTTGTCCGGGAAAAATTTACCTCATAGCACACTGTATGGCGTATGCCCGACTTCATAAGCCAGTGTAGGAGCAAAACAGTAAGACATTTTAAAAAAAAACCATTTCATTTCATTTCCCACCACAGTACCACCGTAGTTTGCCGACTGCTGGAAATGAAAAAGTGTCCGGTAGATCAAGGCTATTGAAACTTTTGTATCGCTTACAACAACAACAATATTTAGGGATTTTTTTAGGGTCTTTTTTTTAAGATTTGCTTTTAGAAAGTTAATAATATTACTTCCATACACATCGAAAATAATTTGGAGCTCGTCAGACAAATATTATTATTCTTTTAAAGAATTGCTATAAATGCATTACACTTCCGGTTTTCCCAAGATCCACCAGAAGCGCCATTTTTCTTTGAATAGTTAGTCTCACGTTTTGTACAGCGTCATTTGATTAACTTTGAAAACGTAATATAATCATCAGGATGGGCGACAAAATTGACATGAGTCTTGATGATATAATAAAAACAAACAAAACAAAACGTGGAGGACGAAGAGGAGGTGGTGGTGGAGCAGGAAGAGGTCGTGTTGGAAGGGGACGCGGTGCCGGTGGACGTGGTCGTTCACAAAGTCGAGGTGGATCAAGAACCGGCGGTGTGTTCAGAGGTGGTGTGCAACGAAGAAGTCGATCACAGGGACAGCAGTTTTCGAGGGTATAATTAAAATAGTAATACCGAGACGTTTCGGACTCAGTTTGACGACATTTCAGTCTTACTTGATGAGGTTTCGGACTCAATGAATAAATAAACATTGTTGAAAATTTTGTGTATTTAGTAGATCTAATAATATTTCGTTGTTTTTTTGTTTTTTTTGTCAAATAGTTGTAAATGAGCTTGATTGAGTCATTGAGTTGACGATCACTGCATGTTTCTATACCTGTGAAAGCAGGGCTGCCGACAACCAGTATCGCAGCGCAATTTGCGATACATATTTTGTCCGTTGCTAATCAAAAATTAAAATCTAAAGTTTTTGATTCGCAGTAACTGCGAATCATTAATATGCCTGTCATTTTGGATATTGACACAAGGATAATCCACATTTGAAGACTAGAAGGCTTTCTGAACACTTTCAACGTGTATAAAATGTTGAATAAAATTTTATAAACAAAACTGAATTCTCCGTGTGACATTTTTTTCTCGAAATACCCAGACACAATTCATTATACGGTACTATATAATACAGGGACATAACTCTATGAATAGGGACTATTAAACTGGAAATAGGGAATCGAGTAGTACCACTCACGTTGCGAGACATCAAGTAATTATATTATATTCATTTTGAAAGAAATAAAGCCAGTGTATCCCCCACGTATTGTAAATAAAATATAAAAAAATAAATATATGTTAACGTATTGTAAAATGATAAATCAAAGTAAAAATTCCCGTAAAATATCGCGTGGGTCTAGTTAATCGAGGTGCGCCCGATTTAACAAAAATAGCTATACACGATAAAAAGCAGACGAAATTGTTTTCTAACGAAGATTTCTAACGTAACAAAAAATAACAATTAAAATGATTGGGGCCTTGGAAGTCACTGTTAAGAATTGGATTCAGACATAAGACCTAACTAAATGTGTACATCACATTCACAAACTGTCACAAGTACTTGTGGCAGTGCTAAAAAAATCTAAGAATAGTAAGAATGGAATCTAATCATATTTGTTATGAACTAAAGTAATATCTTGTTATTTAGGTTTTTATGTTGAAACTGAAAAACTGCTAATCAATTTTTAAATTTGCTAATCAAATTTGGCAAAATTGGACTTTTTGATTAGCAGTTCTGCTAATCAACTGTGAAAAATTACCGACAGCCCTGTGTGAAAGCCTAAATGTCTTTTACGTGAAACGGAATAATTGAAATCAACACACGACTGCGATTATGGATGATTGACAAATCACATTTTTCCTCATCCACCATCTACTATATCTAGCATCTTAAAAACCATAAGATTTCTTTGGCGTCTTTGCACATACTATAAAAGATCAGGATTATCAGTTAATCAGATTTAATTATTTCGCTTTGGTCATTGGCAATGTCATGTAATCATGTGAAACGGGTGACGAAGAATTTCTCTTAACATCCAATTATTAATAATCTGACATACAACTGTATTTACCTTGGTTTTGACCTTATCACAAATTATATGGTAATTTTGTATATGTGTGGACTTATATACTGGTAGTTGTACACCAAAAAAGTAACCACCCTTCTAACTCTCCATCAGCGTTCTGGATATATGGCCATAAACAAAAACTGATCAAAACGGTAAAACATTTTGGTAAAAACGTCCAAAGAAAGGTTTAAAATAGCTTGTGCAATATTGGTTAGTCATGGTCAACCCAAAGCAATTTATTTACATTAATTTAACATAGCAATGTTTTTGGGTTTTTTTAGTCTAAAGATACTCCTGACCAGTGGCAGCATGACATGTTTGAGGGTGGAGCAAAAAGATCAAGTGGTTTAAGCACAGCTCGATTATCCAGTGGTGGTTCCGGTCAAGGCAAACTATTGGTCTCAAATCTTGATTTTGGTGTGTCTGATTCAGATGTCTCAGTAAGCACTTAGCCAGAATATCTGTCTATTAAAATGTTACGAGTGCTATAAAAAGCTATAAAGTTTTCACATCAGAAGTAATCATTATTTCAAAATGTGTATGCAATAGAAAAGAACATTAACTATATTCATTATATTCTTTTCAAGTCAAATTTCTACTGTTTAGTATGTAGTAAAGTATATACCTCCTGTTTTTCAAAGAGCATTCACAATATTTTGATTTACTTCCTATGAAATTTGAATGAAATGTGTCAAATAGTAGATGATGTAAAATTTAGGTACTGAAAACCCATGATTTTCCAAGGAACCACTGATACCATTTGATACATTGATAGAAGTTGATCATATTTTAATCCCCCCAAAAATATACATCTTAATATAGGCCTATTTAAGTCAAAAGGGACATATATTATATAGACGCATGATGACCACACTACACACAAACAATACAGAAAAGACAAACCTGCAAACAGGATACAAACTACACAGACATTGCAAGAAATAAACAGCAAATATCTAATCAAGTGAATGGATCATGGGTCCAGTCGTAAGCATCCACTGTGCTGAACAGTATGGGCCTGTAATAAGTTAACAGCACTATTACTGTATTGATATAAAACCTCGCATTCAATAATATTAGAATACAGATGTGATGTCAAATAATGGTACGGGCGAAGTGCCAGTCGTACCTTATTGGAATATTGGACTAGTGTGAAAATTCATTGAAATTAAGTGTGTGATAGCGTCTGTATTTTAAATTGTTTAATGGTTTTGAGCAAGACATAGCATAATATATTCAAACACTATATATTAATCTTTGCTCTCAACCATTAAATCACTCATTGCATCTGTAGAACACGTGCAAAGGAGTTGAGCCATATCACCAAACACTGTTTCTTCAATGACTTCTTCTTACTTGTTCTGATTTTCCATTGTCACAATATAGAAAGATTTATAGTGTCACCAATTTGTATGTTGTTAGTCTATTAAAAAAAACTAAATTATATTTGATTGTTGCTTTTTGAATTTAAAACCTGCACAATGGGAAGTTAATTTCAAATGTAAAGTCTAGTTTTCTGTGTTGCCAGGAATTGTTTGCTGAATTTGGTAATATGAAAAAGGCTGCTGTACATTATGACAGATCTGGTAGATCATTGGGAACAGCAGAAGTTATTTATGAAAGAAGATCAGATGCTGTTAAAGCTATGAAACAGTACAACAATGTACCTTTAGATGGTAAGTTGTTTACATCAAATAAAATTATACTAGATGGCACACACTGGAGTGAATTCTAAATCAATTGTAATGTTTATAATAATTATTAAACACAAAAGATGTCCAGAATCGCCCAAAATTTGTTTAGTCCTAATGTTATGCCAAATAAAAAAAATTCTGTTTCCGGTAACCCGACCGACCCATTACAAAAACCTGCGACCGTTCAGAATACACTAAGCCTACCGGATTCGTGAAAATGCCTATATTATTTGTTGCTATAAATGTCATCGTTCTTTGAATCTGCATTTACCGATCGGAATAGCCGGTACTGTACAGTGAACGATTAAGAACTGCCATACTGTTGACGCGAGATTGCTAACTGGCGTGAAAATCGAGACTACGAGTTTTCTATAGATTTACCACTGCACATTCCGAAAAGCTATAATCCTCACAACCCTCGTTCTATTAAGTAATGGCACGCAAATGGACAAAAACAAGTGAACGTATATTTTAAACGTGTGGATAGGATCTGCTCGATTGGTATTTAGAAAAATACAAATAAATTTATTACGGACATATTTCAGGCCGTTAAACAAAGTGGCCTCCCTACGCTATTTTTGTTTTTAGCATAAACGATTAAAATGTCCATTTGCTCCCCTAAGAGAATATTTAAATCATAATCTAGCCTCTGTTACATTTTAAACAATTATCCAAGAACTCCAATCTATTCGTGCTTCATAACATTGAAGATTTTAGCACAGAATAATATGCTACATTAGTTACTAGATCTAATCTATCAATGTAACATTTACATTAAAAAAAAAAAAACCCCAAAAACCTACCTACCGACCCAACCCAAATTTCCATCCGTTACATAGCAAAACATTTTAGTAGTTAACACTGAAAATAAAACTGACAAACTATTGTGAGGTTTTAGTTATTAAAATAAGGCTGACCTTAAAAATATCTTTGTTTCACCAAACCCGACCCACAATCGAGGAGAAGGGTCGGTAGGTCGGGTTTTTTTCAGATTTTTTTTTTTTAAGAGCTAATTTGACAGCTTGATAATTTTCCGGGTGCAAACATTCGTCTTATTTTATTGGCAAACAAATCAATGACATCGGGATTTTTCTTGATGCACGACTCGCACACAAATTGCGACAAACTCACGTTTGAAACTCCCTCAACACGTTTTTAACGATCGTGGGGGTTGTGCCTTCATTTTTCTCGAAAACGGATATTGAAAATATCGTCGTCATGTTTAAAACGACGCCCCACAGACATAGAGGCAGAATCATTTCGTGGGAATGGACGTGCTTTCGTCTGCAACCATTTTGTTGAGAAGCGACACCTATGACGCTTTCGTCTTGATCAACCAGTTTCAATAATGAATCAAACCATAGCCATAGTAAAGGGACACACAAAATAAAATAAAAAGATCGCGGAAAAGTGCAATAAAATAATTTAAGTCGGGGGTGGTTTTAGTTAGTCGGTCGCGTTAGGCGAAACAAAGATATTTTTAAGGTCAGCCTAAGGTTCAGGTGTGACTCAATGGTTTTGATGTTTTCTTTGGACAGTGTTGTTAGAATTGAAGGGGCATTATGGGAGATTAGATAAAGAGCTGACAGTTGTCGGTATAATGGTGGTTTGGGTGGCAGGAATGTTTAGTGTGTGCGCATTGTATCATAAGGTCTCTCATTGAGTCAGCTGGCATAGTTTTGATTCCCAGGTTGTACGTGGTGAAGAGTAGGGTCGTCTGTCAAACCTTGTGGGTTTTCTCTGGGTCCCCCGGTTTACTCCCACTGCTAAAGACCCCTACGGGCAAGCGAATGAACTGTGGTATTGGCGATTGAATTTTAGGCCTAGCCTCGATCATCTTTAAAGTCGGTACGATAAAAAAAACAAAGTCTCGATTATCCATTTTACATTAAATTATCCATCACAAAATGTATTCAAATCCCGGTAAATATCGCCGACTAGGGATGGCATCGAAAGCTGATTATGTTCTTGGTAAAGTTAAATAATGTCTAATTAATAATTTAGATAACATTTCAGGCCTACAGAAAGACATGCAATAGGCCGATTTATCTCTTGCATAATGTATGTTTAAGAATAAAATTATCACCCAAAGATCACATTGAATTCAGCTGGTTTCAACAATACTTAAAATCTGTGAATTTAATTCTGTTTTAAGGGCGTGCAATGAATATTCAACTAGTTGGAGCAACAGCAGAAGAATCTCCTATTAAAATGCAAAGCAGACCTAGAAGGTAAACTTAGAATTTCCAATGAATAAGTTACACATTGGAATTGGATATTTATTAATTTGTTTTTCAGATACATTTATTTGTACCCTTGGGGGGTATAGAATTTTATAACAAGAAATGGTTCGAGATATCCTGCAAATGATGAAAACTATTCATTCTGATTAATGATGAATATCAAGGAACCACTGATGCAGTATTAAGAATAACATATGTCTTCACATAATGTTTTGAGAATTGAATGTTATATATGATGAGAATCTTATAATTTCCAACAAAGAATTTGTAGTCATGGGTGCCCCACGCAGTCCAAAATTTGCTGTACTTGAAGTTTAACATCTGCTAATTTTTATGCACAAATGACGATTTATCAAATGATTACATAACAGACGGAGTCGTGCCTTGTCATAGGCAGCTTATATTAACCTATAAGTATATATAGCATGTGACATTGTATACACGAACTAGTAAAGCCCTAAAAAATCTTATGTTAATGATTCTGAATTATATTTAGCTTGACCGTTGTTACAGCAGATCTAGCAAATTATGTGTTTACAATGTGGTGTTCGCTTGAAGTTTACAATTTCTGTCTTTTTGTAATTGCACTTTAAATGGTTATAACTTGTTAGATATAATATGCCCGTTTATTTAGTGATGAAATATAAGGAAACAAGTTAAATTGGATTTTTATTTAGTTGTACATGTATTTTGGGTACATGTATAGCAGTGCTGGTTTGAGGGGTTAAATGTCATACTGTATATTTATGTGTGCCCTATGTATATAGACTTTAATAACAAGAAATAGTTCCAGATAGTCTAATCCTGCAAATGATGAAAACAATCCGTTCTGATTAAATGATGAACATCAAGGAACCACTGATGCAGAATTAAGAATAACACAAGATGCCTTTACATGTTTTAGAGTTGAGAATCATCTATGTTATGTAACTTTTTCAGTTTTGGTGGTGCTGGTGGAGGCGGTAATTCTGGTGGAAGAAGAGGGGGAGCAGGTGGAGGAGGAAATCGTGGAAGAGGAGGACGTGGATTCGGGGGACGTGGTGGTGGTGGTAGAGGTGGTCGTCAAAACAAAAAGCCTGTCACTGCGGAAGAATTAGATGCTCAGCTAGATGCCTATAATGCTAAGGTTCGTCAAGTGTATATTTTAATGCGCTCATATTCAATGTAAATACCCGATCTACTGGTCCATACTTTTTGTGAATTTACATGAAATTTGTCAATAATTTGTGCAGTAATTACCTATGATTTTATCCAAATAGTCTTAGCCTTTTAGGTGGGGGGGGGGTGTTAGCTGGTAGGGAACACTCTGAAAATAGAATGTCGACACAAAAATTCCACAATTTTTTACAGATTTTGTTGGGGCTTGTTTGAATTTTGATATTATTCACAGATCCCCAAATCCTCATTGATCATATCTGCTTTGGTTGCTGCTAGTTTTATTTCTAGTGGTGTTTACAGTGGCCAAATTTCCATCAATTAGAATAAATGTTTGGAATCCTGATTACACAAACTATATCATTTCGATACTATATAGTATAATTTTATTTCAATAATTCACTTTCCTCAATATAGGCATAGGGGTCTGAAGCAGTTGGGAGGCACGGTGTTGGCTGAGAAAGTTCATTGGGATTTTCCGGCATGGTTTTCCCTTGTTGGTGGTGCAGGGCGGAAGGCCTGACAAAGGCAGCTGTATAGTTGTTCAGAGGGGACAAAAAAAAAAATAGGTCCCTTGTATACATTGGTGGCACGTGAAAAATCCCTTGGCAGTTGGAATTCGATATGAGATTATGCCATAACGCCACGGTCCATGCAATATTTCCGTCATAGCACACTGTATGGCGTGCCCATCTTCATCAGCCCAGTTGGAGCAGAACAGTAGGCCCTTAAACCCCAGTTCATTTCTTAAGCAGTTGGAGTAAACCGAAGGACCTGAAGTAAACCCATAAGTGGTATTGAAATCCATGCCACTTGATGCAATAACAGATCTTATGATCTAAAGTGCACACATTAGACCATTCAGTTACCTGTACACATGGAGAACTAAAAACATTAGTTGGAAGTATTGACAGTAAAGAATTTTATACCTAACAATGAATCAAAATTTACCGTTTCCTCTTTCTCTTTACAGATGGACACCAGTTAATAAAGAAACTTATTTAAGTTAAAACATAGATTACAAGACACACAAAGATAGGCATTATGGAAAATTGTTCATATTCAATATTACAGACTGACCTACGATAAAATTGTACATAAAATAGACTTCTGCCAAAACGAACTGGAGATAAATGTACTTATTTCCTCAAGGGTCTTGGGAATTATTTCTCTGTTTGTATCATGTCACCCACTCTCCATCCATCATGTTTTCATTTCATGTCCTGTAAACTAACATTTTGTGTGTGATTGAGTGAGCGAATGTCAACTTTATTAATTTTATTTGTTCTTTTAAAAATCTTTTAAAGAGCAGCAATTGAACTGCCATAAGAACAAAAGTTCTCTTATAAAACTTATTTTTTTTAAAACGGACATGAATATATGTCAATTTATGTAGTCTTCGTTTGATTTTACTTCAGTTTTTAGAACGAGAAAGAGATAATACTAATGTACTTTGATAATTTGTTCATAGTGCTTTTTGATGTTAATTTTACCATTCATGCAGTAAATACTGCCGAGCAGCATTAAAGAAATATATTTATGTTTTAAAGATTGCTGTGTGAATGGAAAATTTAACATACTAAGACATGCATTGTTCTCCAACCATATAAACCAGCCTGGTGATCCACCATGCTACAAGTGTTTCACATCAAGTTCAATCTACTACCCCCAAGCTTGATGTTTAATATATTCTCAGTCCTCCACACAAACCCGTTTTTTACAAAATCCAGCCTGATGAGGAAGGGTTTTTATAATGTGGAAGCAAACATTAAGTCCTACCCTAATACTACTACTTATAATTTAAAATTAGCTATTATATCTATATGTCACCAGGCTCAGAATTATTTAGTTGGAGAACACTGATACTAAGACATTGTCAGAATAGAAATGGTGTATAGGGTTATGTAAATTATTCAATTTTTTATTTTAGTCAAATTCTGTTACAAAAGTTAAATTTTGTGAGATTGTGCTATAACTATTGTATGAATAAAAATGTAAAGTTTTTTTTGTTCGTTCATGATAGGATGTATATAAAGGCTGGTCATGTAATTAATACATGGTGCAATTTTGGAGTACATATGCATGTATTTGAATAGGGAGCCACAGTGGCTCAGTGAGTATGGTAGAGAAGGTCCTGGCAAGGAAGAGCATCTAGTCATTCGATGCGACGTCAAATCGTACGTGTTGGTATTCTCAGAAAGGAACCCATGACAGTTGGAATATGAAGTTAGAGCAGGCAATTGTACACTACCTTGCATATGCCCGTCGTTATTAGCCCAGTTTCTGTAGAAAAGACCTTAAACGCCATTTCATTTTTGGACTTGAATATTCAAATCCATTATGACTGAATTAAATCGGCACCAGTCCACAGATAAACATGGTTATTATGTTTGATACCTTCGAGATGATTATACCCGCAGTCCTGCGCCCAGTCCTCAGTTCTTGGAAAACCCAGCATTTTTAAATTCCATAATGCTTCTGAGGCCAGAACCCTACCATGTCTTCATAGAATGTGCTTGGATAAAACAAGTAAGATTAATCTCCCATCAACCGGTTGTATCATACTATCAATATAGTGTTGATTTCTGTCTTTAAACAACAAACAATTTTGGTTGAAGTCCTTCGAGTGATTTAGAAGTTGAAAATGACTTAATTTTTCCCCTTAGATGTCTTACCTTGCTCTGACAAATTAAGCATCACTAAGGCAGCAAACCTACCAAAACATGTTATTAAATATGAACATTGTTTTCCCAAAATTTGGACTGATGGAGTTCGATGATAAACATTTTCTGCTTACGGTAAGCAGAGATAAGCAATCTGATTGGTTGATGTTTTTGGGCACGATAACTTTGATTTTAATTAAGTGAGAGTGATGAAACTCTGAGTATAGATTCATTATATGAAGACCATGACTAAGTTTGATGATGCATATTTTCTGCATAGGCTAAGGATTGATAAGCAATTTGATTGGTCAAGACCTGACCAATGTTTAAACTTGATGTAGATGTCCATTAGGTGAATGTCTTGACTGAGTTAAATGATTAACATTTCGAGCTAAAGCTTTGGTCGATGCTTTGGAACAAGATAACTTTGATAGAGAGTGATGAAACTTAGTGAATAGGTGATAATTTGTTTGATTGCTTGATACTTTTGAAAAAAATAAATGTGCGATTAATGAATATGTGTCATCTATTTATTTTGGGATTTCGGCGGGGGCCATCAGCCTCACTGTTGGCTTGTTTTCATTCACTTCCTATACCCTGGTTAAACATTTATCTTTTTGTAGTCCAAACTGAATTAGCATGATAAAACATAGTCAAAGTTTTTGATGTAATGAAACTATACAAATTTCATCATAGATAATTACAAAAAGGGTTTATTTGTAAAATTTTAAAAATGGTTTACCGCTCATTTGGTTGAAACCCTCCAAAGTTATTTTAGAAGGCGTCCAATGTAGGATTGCACCCGGCCCCACATTGGATATAAGCATCAATCAAGCTTCATAACCTCTGAAATTCGGAAAATATAAATCTGAACAATCAACATCAATGGTTGAAATCCATTCATCAAATATACTATTCAAAAAAAGTAGGGGATATTTGATTTTGGGGGCATAATACTAAAATATGCAAATGACTACGAAAAAAGTCACTATAGAACCTAACAGAAGAAACATTTCCAGTTACATGTGACGCCCAAACGCACCAATAGCTACCGCATGGAATGCAGGTGATGCTTGGGATCATCATGGGGGTCCAACCCAAGATTTGCACGACTCTGACTTTGAATGTTACAGTCATTGTGGCATTGAATTCCAGGGTGGAAACATCAGTTTAATTGTTTTAGTGACCAGAAAACAAATTTTGATATGCGTCGGCTTACCCAAAATGAAAGGTTACGTGCCCTTGGCATGCTACAGATCGGCACAACACAGGCGGTTGTGGCGCGGACGATGGATGTTTCTCAGTCTGTCATAAGCAGGCTATGGTCCAGATACCGTGATACACAATCTGTACAGGACAGACCACGCTCAGGTCGACCAAGGGCGACAACTCAAGCCCAGGATCGATTTATCCGTACCTTGGCCTTGAGAAATCGTGTCATCACAGCAAATCAGATCAGCGCTCGTCTTCAAACAGACACTGGTGTGAGAGTGAGTGGCCAGACGATTCGGAATCGACTGCATAGGGGTCACCTTCGCGCCCGACGTCCTCGCGTGATCCCTTGTTTGAGAGATCATCACATTCAGGCAAGACGTCGTTGGTGTAGGGATCGTCAACACTGGGATAATCGACGCTGGAGCAATGTGATGTTTTCAGATGAGTCAAGGTTCACTGTTGATTTTTTGGACAGACGTAGGAGGGTGTGGCGTCGTCGAAACGAGCGCTTCCAAGACGTTAACGTCATCAGACATGATCGATTTGGGGGTGGTTCTGTTATGGTGTGGGGAGGCATCACTGTTGCTGGAAGAACGGCTTTACATGTTGTTGCAGGGCGTGTTACAGGCCAGTACTACCGGGACAACATCTTGGCAGTCCATGTTGTGCCGTTCGCACGACGTCATGGCCGCCGTTTCATCTTCCAGGGCCAGGATCGTTACAGGTTACCTCCAACAACAGAACATCACCACATTACCTTGGCCAGCACTGAGTCCCGACCTCTCCCCCATCGAGCATGTCTGGGACATGCTTGGACAGAGGTTACGTCAACGTCAACAACGTCCTGCCAATGTCCAAGAACTTGCTGCTGCGTTGCAACAGGAATGGGACAATCTGGACCAAAATGACCTTAGACGTCTCATTAGGAGTATGCCACGTCGGATCAATGCTTGTTTGGCAAACAGAGGAGGATTTACCCGTTACTGACTTGGTTGTGATGCTGTGGTAACTTTGCTGTTTGACCCTGGGTATCATTTTACCCTTATAATGGCCAGTCTGTGCCTTACTTAGTCTAACGATCATTTGGAATAAATCGATGAATGTGAACTTCATTTCATTTTGTCATTTGTTTCTTCGTCAGTTTAATTAGGTGACTTTAATAACACTTAAAAATCAAATATCCCCTACTTTTTTGGAATAGTATATATTATATAATCTTCCAAAAAAGTAGGGGATATTGGAATGCAAATACCTATGCAGGTTGTGATATAATAAAAAGTCATGGACACTTGACATACTTTGAGAGTATGTTCACATGTGAGGTATTGCCCCAACAGAACCACTGAGCTGCAGGTGCGACACGCAATAGCGCCATATACGTGGGAGAGGTTCATTGTCAAATTTGACACTTCAAAGAAGGGTTGATGAAAACTACCGCGTGCTGGTTTATCATATCCATGTTTGTTTTCCTATCGGTTCTTGCATAAGATTTACTGTTTAGCGTATCTTTGCTTTAGTGTGTTATGTTAAATTTGCAATGAGATGTCTTCAATCAACATGATGAACGTCTACGTGCTATTGGCATGCTTCAAATGGGTTCTACACAGCGAGCAGTAGCCAACGGTGGAACCGGTACCAACAAACACAATCAAGAATTGCTTCCGCCGGCCCTGATTGGTCCGTATTGCGTATCCGTAACGATTTTGTGTGTGACGTCATCAATGCGTGTGTATTTCTCATACGTGATACGGCACACGGATACGGCAGCACGTATCGAACAGCTTTTATACGGAAAAGGTCTGTATAACATCGTCATCTTTTTACCGTATGTTTTGCTACTTTTAGACGCTGAAATGTTGTGCCGTTGCGTTTTTATGAATGTGTATCCTAGAACACGAAGATGTATATTTGACGTGATTTTAACCATGGCAAAGACTGGAATTTAATAATTACTTTTGATGAGCTTTTCGCGGAATTTTCATATTTTTCCTGTCTGTCTGCACGCTGGTTGATCTATAACGTGCTAAATTTAGGGAGGTGGGACCTTGCAAATCTGTAAAAGGGGTATATACTTTCTGAAATGGTACATTAGTGAAGATTTTTAATAAGATTCGACACTAATTTTTAAAAAAAATTTTTTAAATAATTCAACGACTGTCGAACGACTTCACTCCCTTCAGGAATCTGTCCAACCTCGTGGGTTTTCTCCGGGTCCTCCGGTTTCCTCCCACTGCTAAAAGACCCCTACGCGCAAGGGAAATATTGAAATAAAATTAAACCATATGTTAGTCCCGAAATGACCTAGTTTGTGTCGAGTGGACGTTAAACCCAATTTCTCTCTCTCTCTCTCCCTTCAGGAATTTGTAGGCTAGGTACTTGACTAGTACTGATGTTGATCTTGGTAGATAACTGCCATTATGCTGTAATAAACTATGCTCAGCTCAGCTACCCATCGTACGCGGCGCGAAGTCTGCCAAAACTAAATTAACGTAACGCATCACGTGACGATACGGGTACGTTATACGGATGGGAAAAATCCACTTTCCAAAAGTCTCTAATGTTGATGATAGACCTCGTTCAGGTCATCCTAGAGCCACTACACAAGCCCAGGATCAATACATTCGTACACAGGTCCTGCGAAATCGAAGACAAACGGCCAATCAGCGTTCTGTAAACTTGTACCAAGTTACAGGAATTCGAGTTTACACCCCAAACGATTAGAAATCGGCTACATGCAGCCCATTTGCATGCGCGACGACCAGGTGTTGTGCCTCCATTAACACGTCAGCACATGGCAAACAGGTGTCAATGGTGTAGGCAGCGTAGAAATTGGGGTAATCGTCGATGGGTGCGTGTAATGTTCTCAGATGAGTCCAGATTTCCTCTGGATTTCACCGATAGGCGTGCTCGCGTTTGGAGGCGTGTAAATGAGCGTCGAGCTAACGTTAACGTCAGACAGCATGACAAATTCGGGCGTGGGTCTGTTATGGTGTGGGGAGGAATCACCATGACTGGCAGAACGGACTTGCATTCTGTTCAAGGAAGGGTCACTGGTGTGTACTACAGTGACAACATCTTGGCACCGATAGTTCTGCCCTTTGCTCAACGTGCAGGTCGGCGTTTCATCTTTCAGGATGATAATGCCCGTGCCCACGGCACTCGTGTCGTGAATGACTACCTCCAGCGTCACCATACTGTCCATATGCCTTGGCCAGCCATGAGTCCTGACCTTTCTCCTATAGAGCATGTCTGGGACATGATCTGGAGATGTGTTCGTCGACGTCAACGTCAACCGACAACACTGCGAGAATTGGCCGTGGCACTGCAAGAGGAGTGGTTCAGATTGCTCCAAATCGTGATTGGACGGTTGATTAAGAGCATGCCACGACGAATTGCTGAATGTCTGAGGATTGGTGGAGCAATTACTCATTATTAAGACAAAAATCAAAAACGTCCATTTTCACTTTTGACAGTGTATCTCTCTTTGCGTGTGAAATGGGGCCGTCAGATAAGCCGCCCATATGAACTATTTATGTTCATGTGTAGGCAATTGGCTTGTTATTAACATACACTGGTTACCTCTAATAAAAACAGCAGTGCATTTCCGCAGTTTTGTATTGTTTCTGAATATCCCCTACTTTTTTTGAAGAGTATATGTCGCTTTAAGGTACACCCCTGTCCCACCCCTAGATAATCATGTATGGGCCAAATCAGAGTTTGGTTAGAATGTCTTTTCTATTGGGTCGATTTTGAATAAATGTGAATCCAAGCAACATTACTACAAAATTTGACAGAGAGCTGTCAGGTGGTTAACCAAAAGATGAAACTTTAAAAATTTGTGGGACGGACGGATTACATAATTCTGCTAAAAATCAATTTGCCAATCCTAATTGACCTGTACTACTAATGTACAACAGCATCCTTCATAAATTCTGTCGCCAAGAACAGTAACAAAACTCCTTTCAGAGATTTTGCCCAGACAGCGGTGCCATGGCCCTCTCTTATTTGAAGGGCTCTTATGTGCACACTAGACCTCACTGTTCCTTGCCAGGCCTGCAAGAACTTGAAATACTTTCTCTGCCAACATTGGGATTGAACCCTTTGATTAGTGAGCCAGCGCCTTACTTAATGAGCCACCATCACTTCACTGCACGAAAGCCGTTTGTGGTTTGTTTTTTTTTATAGCTTTACATATCCAGAAATAAAGGGGGGGGGGGGGGAGGTGGATACCTCATGCACATGGATCATGGTTATGCTGAAAAATATACTGCATCAGACCTGTCTACCATTATTGATATTCTCAGAAACAACTAGGAAGTTTTAACAAAAATTTTAATAAAATTATGACAAGTTCATGCATTAAGTAATAAATAAATGACATAAAATTATTGGATATCATAAAATTTTAAAACTCTATTTTTATACCTTGAATACCGTTAACTACAGAAATATATGGACAACTTTCATCTATATAGAGAATAAGCAAATTTACTTACAAATTACTTTACAATAATATGTATAAACCAAAGCCAGTTAGCTATAATTCCATGTAAGATTCTAAATAAATTATGACAGATTTGAATTCAATGTTCTAAATAAAAATTAATAATTATATATATACTCAATATATTTAAGCCAAATTATACGTTTTTCCTATTTAAAAGATATGTTTCAAAACATATATGCAACGAAAAACACACTCTGTTTAATAAAAACTTACATATAGATTTCTTTTGGGATGTGAGAAATTCTAAAACAATTTTGGATTTCAGTGACCTGGATACAATACAAATATAATGGAAATAAAGTTTCGATTTGCTGGCCTTAATAGTAAGTGCAGGAGGACTGCACCACACAAAAACAAAACCCGTAAGACAGTGATGGGCAACCTACGGCCTGCGGGCCACATCCGGCCAGTGAGGGCTTGTCATCCGGCCTGCCAGACCCTTCCACTACATCTGAAAACTTCAGAGCAATTTAATCTCTAAATGAAATTAAAAAAATCGAAATTGCTTTTTATTGGGCCCAATCTCAAAACAGACGTTACTCTTTGGCGGATCAATAATCTCTGTAGGTCTATTTATAGCTTGCATTGTCACTCAATGACATAGTTTCCTAATTGAAGTCACTTGCCTACTTTCATTTTACGTTATTGTTTGATTTGTTGACATGCTTTGATTTTTCTCTGAATATAACTTTGGAGCTGAATAAAAAGCACAGAAATAGTGCTTTGTTTCGTATTACTTTATTCAATAGAATGACAATTAATAATTCTTGTTTGGCCCTCACTTTGTTTCAAAACTTTGTGTTTGACCCTTCACCTAAAAAGGTTGCCCACCACTGCCATAAGACAATGTAAGCATAATACTAATAAGGTACACACCAGGACTAAGTAATCTCTTCAAAGTTTTAAAAAACCATGAAAGTAAAAGAGGCAAATATAACACAGTAAACAGAAAGAAGAGAGGTCATAAATAAACATAAACATCTACAATGCAAGACAAACGCAAATTGAGCAAAACGCATTTTGAAAAAGAAAATGGAAAGTTTACAGTAAAATCAAAGAGGTAAAAATAAATAAAAGAAGTGTTGTAAAACCTATATTTGTATATATATTTAAAGTTTGGCATTACATTAGTAGATTGCACCAAATTCTATGAAATATGTAGGTACCATTAAGAGAACAGAATTTAATCCTATGAGAGATATATAAAATTGTCATTACTTTAATCATAAAATTGAAATTGTCATTACTTTAATCAGAGTACAGATCACAGTTGCTTTTGATTGATGGATTAACTGTTCATAATACAATAAAAAAAATTAAGGATTTAACCCTTCCAACCCAAAACTTGAGAATGGTCAATGACCCCCGCCAGGAAATGAGGCAGAACCCTAAATCATAATTTCAGGTCTACTGCCAGGAAACAATTGTTAAATGGATAAAGGGTATAATTCTCACTCTGCATTTGAAACAACTTTTAAAAGTGCTAAATGTATCAATAATGAGTCGAAAGGGTTACGAACGAATAAACTACTGAATAATCCTGAATATAGATTTATAAGTGTATATATCATAGTCTAGGTCACCAAGATATTTATAAATAACATACACAAAAATGATTTGGTGTGGAGCTTACTAACATACAAAATGGAGATTATCACATGAGTGTGTAGTTACTCTGTATGTTATTAACAACGACTATTGACTGACCGACTAGAGGTTTCTTTCTGTAGAAGGAAGCTCAAAGATATTGTTACCAATCAACTTAGTGACCTAGACTACTGTATGTTATTATTTATAAACAGAGATTCTACTATTCTAGTCATTAGTATGAGAACACCTTAAACATTCCTAGTTCAAAAGAATGGTCAGATAACAAATGGCACCTTTGGCACTTCTCATACCACAAAGCCAAAAAGCACATCTTGATAAAAACAATATTTGTCACGACAAATACCTTTTAGGAACAAGCGTGATTGATGGTAGCCGCGATTCCCCAGGTTTGCACACACAACTACTAAGGCTCTGAAGAATCCACACTTGTATTAACTTTATCTGCCCTACACACAGTCAAGAACCATATCCTTCTTGTGCACTGAAGACAAGATTCATTCCTGATGTAGTCCACCAAAGGTACACAATTTTGTTTTTAGACCAATTGTTAGATTAATCAAATATATGGCAGACAACAACAAACTTTAACACAAGAGAAAAACTTCAATTTTTCTTCTTCTTTCCAAGAACTAGACGACTAATAATAGTGGAAGCTACAGCCAGATTCTTCTTGACAATATCATGGCGTCTCAAGCCAGGTAGAAGACATATCAGATTAACTGAAAATAAACAGTTTAATACAACAATTAAATATCAGACTTTGACTTAAATATGCATTATTAAAGAGCTATCTCAGCCTATTGTAGGTATTTCTTTGGGCCTGAAATGATATCTAAATTATTAATTGGACATTAATTAACTTATCCAGACCATTGTTAGCCTGCGATATTCACTGGATTTGAATACATTTTGTGATGAATAATTTAATGTAACAAGAGCATCGCTAACGCTGCAATATACGTCCACATTCCAGCATTGATTGATATGGTACTTTTACTAGAAATGGGCGTGGCTCTGCCCCTGGGGGTCGGGCATGCACCAAAAACAATAGGGATCTTCCTTGGGGTATAAGGAATAAGTATACCAAGTTTGAAGAAAATCCAGTAAGAATTGCGCCCTGTAGGCGACACAAAGACACACGAAAAGAAAATGGGCGTGGCTCTGCCCCTGGGGGTTGGGCATGCACCCCAAACGATAGGGATGTTCCTTAGGGTACAAAGAATGTGTATGCAAAGTTTCAAGATTATTAGTTAAGAAATGTGGCCTGTAGACGACAAACAAACAAATACTAGAAATGGGCGTGGCTCTGCCCCGGGGGGTCGGGCATGCACCAAAAACAATAGGGATCTTCCTTGGGGTATAAGGAATAAGTATACCAAGTTTGAAGAAAATCCATGAAGAATTGCGCCCTGTAGGCGAACCACAGACACACACACACACACACACACACACATACATACATACACACACACACACACACAGACAGGGGCGACGGCATAATACGTTCACATTATGAATGTGGACGTATAAAAATGGATAATCGAGACTTTGTTTGTTATCATACCAACGTTGGTAATGACGACTGAGACTAGCCTAAAATTGAATGGCTAATATATCAGTTCAGAGTGAAGCAATTTGACTGAAATTTTCAGCATATTTTGTTTTCATTATCTATGTTTTAACTATTATAGCGATAACTGTCAGCTCTATATCTAATCTTACCTAATGCCCCTTAATTAAACTTATTTGTGACAGGCTTTCACAGATGAAAGATAATGTACTTCAAATTTTTGTTTAAAGTTGCTGATAATTATTTTGGGGACTGTTAATCCGTTGCAAACTACTATAATATGATAGTTGAATTAAAATACACATATTTGGAACTTTCAGCATCCTCTGCAGAGCAAACAAACAAGATAGAGTACCAATAAGCTTTAGATAAAATCTTTTGATGGTTCTCTTTTTTATTCCAATTGAATTCAAACCAGGAGTTTATCTATAGAATGTCTTTATTTTGGCTTCAATTGTTACATAAACTATTATTTAGGCATCTAGTCTATTGTATGGCATAGATTTAAATGGATTATGACGCCCACAAGATTTAAAAATTTAACGATAAAATAGACAAACAAGACTAAGTCTTAGTTTTCCAATACTGTTGCTATGACAATAAACAATATGCACTACATCTTCCAACACCCATAACTTCGCTCAGAATAAAGTCGTTTGAATGAACTTTTCAATATATTCATCATTATCTTTTTTTGAACTATTATAGCAAGAACAATCAGCTCTTTAGCTTAATCTTACATTATGCATCTTTAAATGTTAAATAATTTTAGCGTGGAATAAGTGCTAAAAAGAAAAATTTGTTGAATGCAAATGACGATCAGCAGCATAAATATGCTCAAAATCTAGCTGCATCCATTATAGACTCCATGAGAGTGGCTAAAAATAAAATGTAATACACAATTATATAATACATACCCAAGAAATAGGTTAAGAATAGGTTATTAACCAGACTTCCAATCCAGGCATTTATAACCAGAATACCCATAACAACAAAGAAATACTGAAAAAAAGGATACAAAGTGTTATACTTGATTTGCATCCCTTATTTTTCATTTTGAGCGACAACTGTATCATTATAGGCCCAGGACTGTACAATGCAGTGGATGCTTACGGTTAGACCCCGGACACATTCACTTGATCTGATACGTTTGAGGTGTCTATGTATTTTGTGTCCTGTCCGGAGGTTTGTCTTGTGTAATTGCTTGTGTGTGGTGTGGTCACCCTACACTTACTATACACTACACATATCATATTCTCTTTCCTCTTATTTTGACTTTCAACAGTCAAACAGTGGAACCTCATTTTTTATTTGTTCCATCCGAACAAACTTGACTATTATCATTGCCAGCCGATCTAACAAGGAAAAAGCAGGCTGGAAAATCCTGAAGACCGACCTCAGCCAATACTGGAATCGAATTAGTGACTTCCTGGTTATTGAGTCAGCACCATACTCACTGAGACGCCATTGCTCACTGACAGAAAAGGAGCATGTGACAAACCGACAAAGCAAGCTATTTGACTAAACAAAAGATTGCATGCCGGTAAGGTAACTAAACTGTGGTATGAGGTGTCAAACAAAACTCTGCGAGGAGCACAAATAATCTCGTAAAACAAGGGCAGGTAATTAGGAGATAAATACCCTCTATTTAGAGTGTTATTGTTCATTTTATACCGGTTAAATCATTAGAGGCTGAGTTTATTTTGGGCTACAATTTTAAATAACTTACAACTTTAGGTTTTTCTGCCTTTAGTTGACACATAGTATTCTTGAAATCAACAAAATGATCTCTTGCATTCATGATTCTCTCACATATTTGATGGTATTGTTGTTCATGAAATACTGTCCTGGAAGGAAGAAAAGGATAATGTTCAGTGTTATATATAATTTGCACTATACTATTTCTGAGATGAAGACCTGTTGAGAATTTCATAACTGATTCATAATATCCTGAGAGCACTCGAGTTATCCTGACCGATCTTTAACATATTTGTATGCAACGAATCTATGTATATATTCGTGACTGTCATTTGTCTGTTTGGGTTTGGCAGCTACATAAGGGCGTCCCGAGACTGAAATTTAGCCCATAAGGGCAGCTTGAGTTGGGGGAGTGACTGACATTGGCCTGGTGGTGTTGCACTTCCACTCCTATAAGGAACATTGCTGGGCTCTCTACCTGTGCAACGCTGAGTAAACGGTATAGTTATAATCTTATTAACAGTCAGTCAGGCTTTTTAAATTTTCTGTTCTCAATTCTGTTGGCTGTGGAAGACTTTGAAGATAGGTTGCCAGGCAACTAAACATAAATCCATAGCAGTTAAGTTGTCGGAGAAGTTCATAATGATGATCACAATTTTATTCTTTTGTACTAAAAAAAGACGATAACTTTAGTTGTTCAATTTTCAGAAATAGTTTGTCTCATAAATATAAACACTGTTTATCAATTCCAAGTCAGTCAGATAAAATCTTTAGCCTCTAGACGTTCACAGTTGTGATTAAAATATACAACCACATTTCAATGTGGGTATATAAAAAGATATTGTGAATATCCAAAGTTTCCTCACCAGTCACCCGTAGAAAAGACTTTCGATCCCACCATTGGTATAACTAAATCAACAGCACTAATCAGTAAACCAACTAGGGAAAAGGTTGTTAACACTGAAGGCTGCACAAACCATATTAATCTAAAATAAATAGTATTACAAATACATGGAGTTTAATTTTAATTGATTTTAAGATAATGTATAAATAAGTTTTCATCAATAAAAAGATTTGTGGTGCATTACTAAGGACAGTTAAGAATTTCATCAAAAGTAATGTTTCGACATGACATTTCTGAGGAATAAATTATGACAACTTGAATCTAGGATGTTGCAAATGGCAAAATGTATAAGCTTAATTTAACGTCCACTTGAATCAAACTAGTTAATTTTTCAGAACTAACATATAGTACAACTTTATTCAATTATTCTCTTGCTTGTAGGGGTCTTTTGGTACTAGGGGGAAACAGGAGGAAATGGAAAAAGCCTCCAAGGTTGGACAACCGACCCTACTCCTTGTCTCACACAAGCTTTGAATCCAAACCAATAACAGACCTTAAGATCTAAAGCACATGTTAGATCACTCAACCGAATTTTCATAAGCTATGTGTATATATTAGATTTAGATATTATCTTACGCAAACAGAAAGGTTGTCGTGCCGACAATTATTCCTGGATGATACGGTTTCTCCCATTCTAATAAACTGTTCAATGGGATCAATGCTTCTTTCCAGCCCTCTAGGTCTTTCTTTAACTCACTTAATTCATTGGATTCTTCATCAATATTAGTTTGTAGGACCTGTAAAATCCAATTACAGAATTTAAATTTTTGAGAAATTTATTTTTACCATATCAAATGTTAGAAGATGAACCGAATTTGAATCCTGAACACATTCCAATAGCAGCTCAACTCAACATCTGGTCTAATATAATGTCTGAGAAATTAGTCATTATAGCAATATTTGAAAAGAGTAAAAAATACATAACAGCAATACCTAAGATATGTTGCCAGGCAAAGAAACATACGTCCACAGCAGCTAAATTGTCCGAGCGGTCAACAAGGGTTGTCACATATTTATTATTTTGTAGGTAATGCGGGGGGGGGGGGGGGGGGGGGGAGGGGCGCATTTATAAGACAATTTCATACGAATCAGATTATAATTTTTGTCCTTTGAGGGTTCACTAGGTGCAACAAACTGAAGCAAGGGCCTTAACTCTGGAAGTAATATACAAAAATTGTTGAAATTTGACAGCCTTCTTCATTTTCAAAATTTAAATAATGCATATCAATTTCATACAGATCGTTGAGCATTCACAATGTTCAACAAAGTAAAACATAGGACATAAAACAAGGGACATAACTTTAGAAGCAATTAACAGATATTGCTGAAATTCAATAGACTTCTTCATTTCACTAATTCAAATGATACATATAAATTTCATACAGATCGGATGATAATTTTCGTTGTTAGAGAATTAACAAGGTACAATTAAGTGAAACAAGGGCCATAACGGAAATTATTGAAATTAAATAGGATTCTTCATCTCAGTACGGTAATGCAAACAACATATATCAATTTCAAAACAATCAGATGATAAATGTAGACTGTAGAGTGTTCACAAGAAAATGTGGCCGATTGACGGGTGGCCGAACGGAGGCGACAGCAATATATGACCCTATTTATAGTATTTCCATGTGGCCATATAAAAAAAGCATTACACACCTAGAAATAATGAATTTAGATGTATAATATCTGACAAAATTTTCTAGTTGAAGGGCCACCGACATGAATTTATTTTGTTCTTCAACTAAATTTATATGGCCACAGCCGACACACTGGAAAAATGTCACAGGTTTGATCATATAATATATTCACCACAATGTTTTGACAGGTATTCTTATATCATTTTCAAACACAAATACAAATGATAGTTAGTAATATTGTCGTTTATTACAATTTGAATTTTAACGTCCAAAACATTAGGCCTATTTAATCAATTAATGATAACATTGTGTTAGGACAGTTGATTTTAATTAAGATTATTTAAATAGTTGGTATATAGCCATACAATAAGGAAGCCATACAAAGTGAGTTGTTGAATAACATAACAGCAGTCGAAAACGTCCACCCGAAACGTTCGTCTACGGTTTTGATTGCCAAGTTCAGTTGATCTTGATCCATCTTATTTATATTATTAAATATCTTGACCCAAAAATCAAACAGGTCGAGCCATTTTATGAAATCAGCTGAACTTGTCATCTTCGTAGGTCCTATGTAAATCACTATTTAATATCTGCTACTATAGCCCATGTAAATCAGTATGCAATGTCTGAGGCTAATAATAGTGATATTGATAAGGAAGAGATTATTCTGAAGTCTAAACTGAAGACTGAACGGAAGAAAAGTGCTGAGTTGACCCATATATTTGGGATGCTCAGAAAATGGGGATGGAAAATAGGAAGAGTAAAACAACTATTTCAAACAACTGCATAATGTATATGGTCTTCGCATATTTTCAAAATTTTACGATTTATATTCAAGATAGAGAAATTATAACCGTTTCTTCTCCCGTTTGATTTTCTGTACTGTCAGCCATTTTGTACTACCAGGATTGTTTTCATCTCGCAATAAAGCGTTCGAACGAGACAAAGTTCATTTCAGAAATTCACAATTAAAAACTACCATTGCTCTTCGGATACTATTTTTTAAGGGTAATATATAATTCTGCCTCAGCATTTCAATATTTACATTGAAATAAATTTTCTATTTTTTGAATATTTTTGTAAATTTTGTGTCCCGCTTTTTGATTGGCTCAGACATTGTAAATTTTGTGTTAGCGTTAGCAGTGTAATATTCAGGCGTAAAGAAAGATAGAGGACGGTGTCGTCTCTGTCGAAATAATTACATATTTCGTCAAAAATGTCAAGTGTAGGTATTTCGTAGGTCTTCTAATGAGAACAAGATACTTGTGAATAGTCTTTTTAATTTAATATCTTTTATAAACGTATGGTGGGATACACATATCCCACACATTAACCCAAAATAATTGCGTACACTCTGTTCAGTTGGCACAATTATTATATTATTAGGCATCAATTTCATTAAAGCCTCGTAGGCAGCACTATTAATTATAAAATCAAGATTGAATTTTTTATTGTAATGATAATACATTCAAAATAGATGAATACTCTTGGTTTTATGTATGTATTTTTTGCTGAAGCTTAGTTACACAAAAAAGTAAAGTACCGTTATTTACCATTATTAGGAAAAGAAAGCTATGCCTATGCCTTTAGTAATTTAGTAGGGAAAGGTTTTGTCTTTTTTGCGAATGATTAGCGATACATATTTTGTCAAAAATGAACAGTCGAGATGCCTTATCTTAGCTCTTCTTGTTTAAGTAATCTGTGTCCAACCCTTTACAAACCATGCACCCATCACAAACGTATTCATGCAGAGGCACCACAACTATTGTTACTGTACCCTTTTAATTTCTTCTTTCGTGTAAAATTATGTTTATGAAAGACATAATTTTTAGCATTTTTGCAGAGAATTATTGAAGAACAAAAGTCCATTTCCTAGTTTGATTCATTAAGCATTATTTATAAGCTTATATTTCTAATTGAAAACAGATAGTGTCAAAGAGGATAACATTCACTAAAAATGTCGTGCAGGAAATAATAGCTGAATGGTTAGCATGTGCGCGCTGTATCATAAGGTCTGTCATTGAGTCAACTTGTGGTTTTGATTGCGTGGTTGTACCTGACAAGGAGTAGGGTCGCCTGTCCTACCTTGTGGGTTTTTTCCGGTTTCCTGCCACTGCTAAAGTCCCCTATGCGCCAGCAAATTATTGAAATAAGATTGAACCATATGTTAGTCCCGAAATGACCTAGTTTATATCATATATTTTCACCCAGTAAATGCATCAACTCTTCTCTGTGTTGATATAGTCTTAGAAAGGCATTTAACATCATTCTTGGAATCAGTACATGTGTATGTTTTACTATGTGGTTCATCAACAGGACTTTCTATGAGTAGTAAATTCATTGTAAAATCCAGCCATAAACTTTTAATCAAATTTCTCCTTTCTTTGTTTCCATGTAAGCCATTTTTAATGTTGGTGCTTAATAATGGCATTAATATTACTAATCTTATATCCAAGAAATCAACCACCTGGTCCACAATCAGTCTGAAAAATCTCACCACTTGCACTGCATTATTATTAGACTCAGCTGCTGTAGTGACTTCAAATTTTTTAAGACAAATGTTGATTAAAGTAATGAAAAACTCTGTGCAACTCTTTATGTACGAGTCGAGAAATAGAATTTCACCATTAGTTTTGGAACTTTCTACATTCAGTTTTAATTCAGTAACAAATGTTTCATTTTTCCACAGATTTCTAATGTTGAAAACCTTTCACCACAAATTATCAGACATGTATCCAAAGAATTAGGAGATTTAACCAAGTCACCTCCAGAGGGAATAAAAGTTTTCCTTAATGAAGAAGATATTACTGATGTCCAAGCCTCCATTGAAGGGCCAGGTATTATTAGAACTGCTACATGTACATGTGCCTTTTGGAAAATATCAATTGAAAGAATTAAATATTTTTTTGGTTATCAGATAAATTAAACTTTTTAATTATTGAACATTTGAACTAATGATTAAAGAATTACGAAACCAGAAGCCCTTGAAATCAATGTTTTTTTCCCGCTTTTACCATAACACACTTGCTCAAGAAAGTTTTTACAATGTATTGTAACTAGTTTCCCTATGTCTACATTGGATGGAGTGTAAATATATTATAATGTGCAGTAACTTTTCTATTCAGCTGGTACTCCGTATGCTGGTGGACTATTCCGTATGAAGTTAGTGTTGAGTAAAAATTTTCCTTCGGAACCTCCCAAAGCTTTCTTTTTGACAAAAATATTCCACCCTAATGTTGCCAGTAATGGTGAAATATGTGTAAATACATTGAAAAAAGATTGGAAAGCTGAACTCGGAATTAAACATATTTTACTTGTAAGTATACATAGCCTGTAGCAATTCATTTTCATTAAGTATAGAAATGTAATTAAAGGCCCAATTTCGATCAAAATCAATACTTTTGCTTGTTTTGTCCGTAGCTCAATATTAGATTTTTTGCTTTCCGACTCATTTTGCCAGCACAGGTCACAAATAGTTCAATTCCGGTCAGTATTTAACTACATGTATTTTCAAAGTTATGTTAAATTGAAATTTCGTCCATCTATGCTTCTCGAGTGTAACAAGACGCCACCATCTTTTATTGGTAGCGAAGAAACCTGATGGGTCAAGTTTAAATTTGATTGGTCGGAGCAGAACAGTAAGCCGTTCAACTCCATTTTATTTCATTTAAATTCAATTGAATCTAAATTAGAAGATTATCTGGCATTGGTATTTTGATTTTGTTTTTTTTTAACTGAAGTAATCAATCTGAGGTCATATTTACAATAGCATGTTTTATTAAGCAGTGAAAAATTTGATATTTTAGCAAAATTGCAAATGGCACATTGGTACTTTTATATTGAAATGAACAATGAAGAGTTAAATCATTTGATATTGAAATGAACAATGGAATTTATTTTTTCACTAGAGATATCAAATTTATTAATGGTACATGTTTACAAGCTTGTTATTAGTTCTTGAGTCAACCACCCAGACAGCCTAAATGCCATACCAATGACCCCTATGTGTCGATTGGACTAACTTCCTTTTTGACTTTTGGTGTCTCAGTGAGTAATGCACTGGCTTGCTAACCTGTAGTTCCCAAGTTTGATCCCGAAGTTGGGCCAAAAGAGTACCTCAGTAAATTCCGTCGTGGTCGCATTGTGCAGGACAGAGGGCCCTCCAAGGAACAGTGTCTAGTCATTCGAATGGGACAAAAAAACGGTCCTGTTTACACAGTGGCAGGCACATAAGAAAAACTCAATTACTGTCCCATTGGCTATAGGATTGGCACGGCCATAGTGATAGGGAAATTTAAACACTTTGAATGGTTTAATTTGGACAATCACTTTATTTTCATTTCTTTAATGTTAAGGGAAATTTGTTTAGATTGTCCTTAAAGTTTTAGTTTACATGTCTCATGAATGTGCTGAATTTTGTTTATTTTCAGACCATTAAATGTTTATTAATTGTCCCTAACCCTGAATCTGCATTGAATGAAGAAGCTGGTAAACTTTTATTAGAACAATATGATGATTATTCGTCGCGAGCCAAGATGTTCACAGAAATCCATGCAAAACCTCTCAAGTAAGTCTTCAGTTAATCAGGGCATTCTGATCTGAATAATAATGGCAATAGGTAGATTCGTATAATCTATGTATTTTCTCACCTACTAATGTACTTAAGAGTTCTGAATACAAATGAGCTTCAATGATCTTTTCCATTAATCATCTCAGTAGTTTAAAGTTGCTAATTTAACAAAGTAATCCAAATATTATTCTCACATCTTTACTCAAACACCGAATCTCATTATTGGAATGGTTGGTTCCCTGTTGTCAAGGGCAATGCCCACAAGGTTGACAAGAGAATCCATTACACTTAAAAATCAATGAAGAGTAGACAGAAGCTTAGCTGTCCAGACAAAATTCTTCTCCATAGCTTGACATGATTGTTTCAGTTCAAGCCACAGATATATATTTTTGAATTACAAATATTTATTAACAAAATAAGGAAAAAATTGATTAACACAAGTACTAGTTTGCTTTTTAAATAAGATATAAAATAAGCTCACAATGTTCTAGCAACAAAGATATTTGCAATCATATATCACACCGTAATATGGTATGGAAGCATGTACGTATATAATCATAGAGTAGATTAATCAGAATAGATGAACCCTATCGAAATTTTGATTTCATTCCAAATTGACATGATATAATGTGTTCATAGAATACTTGGTACAGTCACTTTATTACACATTAGGCTTTGGTTTAAAAAACGGCATGTGCAATCTTGCTGAAACTTTGCAGTGTGATAAACATAATAATTGTATTGTTATATTATGTCAATTACTAGATGCCCCTGAAGGATGATATGTTATGTACAAGGTTTTTTTTTAAAACATATTCTATTGTACATTTCAGAGCTGGAAAAGAAATTGGTTTAACAAAAGATATTGTGAGTGAAGGACCTATGGCAAAAAAACATGCGGGTGATAAAAAACTTTTGGATAAGAAGAAAAAAGAAAAGAAAAAAGTGCTCAAACGATTATGAATTCATTATTTACTAAAAGACAATCATTCATCACATCATATTTCATGTCAAATCACGTGACATTTCGGTTGAATGTGTAGTGTGAAGGGTCAGTTATGAAATCAGCATAAATTTGTCTGTCCAATGAGAGCAACCTGTCCTTATAGAAGAAATATATTTATATCTCTTTGTTAATTCTTTCTGCTCTGGCAACTTCCTATACAGTCTACTGATGAGCAATTTATTTATTTCCTATATTATATTGCAAAACGTGTAATACAGCTCTTGTTATATATATATTTTAATGATATAAATTAAATGTAGATAGTATGTCTGTATATATACCTCTTTTTATTTATACTTTTCATGACCCTAAATAAGCATGTTTGCAAATGCCCATAGTGTCAAAGATCATGATGAAATTTTAATAAAATGTGTATAATAATATAAAATATCAGTATTGTAATATTCTTTGTTCTTTAATCCTGTGGGTTTTCTCTGGGTTCACCGGTTTCCTCCCACATACTTTACTCCTTTACAAGCAAGCAAATTATTGAGATAAAATTGTGCCATGTTAGTCTTTTAAAGACCCAGGTTCTTAAGTGGACGCTAAACCCCATGTCTCTTCCTCTTTAACATGAATACAAAAGGGGTTAGGGGAATTGGAAAATGATGTATTCTGAACAAACTTTTTTGAACCATTACATAATTGAGTGAACAAGCTGCCATATTGTTGTGAACGCAAATAATGAGACTAAGACTGGTATGTAAACTGCTTTTTGATTGGTTTGAAGAATCAAGCTATGATCAAGGGCAGATAATTTGAATAGATGAATACCCCATGGATAAACCCAAGGTATAGTGGGCATAGAATGGAATGAGTCCACTGGGGATGTAACTCTGTATAAAATTTATTTGCAAATCTGATGACTACCTGAACAATCCCAGGTAGTTTGAAAAAAAAAAAAAAAATTCGAAATCTTTTTTTTTACAATGTTCTCAATTTCAATTGGATTTCTTCATCGAATTTGATGAAAAACAAATTCTTAGATGACAGACATTTAAATTGAATGACTCAGAATTCAATGAGATTGCTCCTACCTTTGAATAAATCGTAGCACATTAGTATTTCAAGTGAGAATAATTCTATCACTAAGTTCTGTATGACTAGGAATAGATTATAGACCATCAATAAGGGTCTGTTTGTACTTCATAAACACTATATGCTGGTCATTATTTTTGTTTTTCAATGTCTTGCCTCAGTTTTATGCAAGTGTTAAGACCATTTAGTTACTGTTTAGTCATACTCTCTCTCCCCCAATATGTTAGCCTTGTATAAACTCTTGACGTAAGTTTTTGGATTACTGACAGCCAGTAAAGAGACAACAGATATGGTTCAGGGTCTTTTCAAAGTTTCTGAGATATTTTGTTCTGGACATCCTTAATTATATATTGATCCAGAGCACAATTACCTACAGTATACGTCAACCACTAAAGAAGTTAAGATATTAATGTTAGACCTGACCAGGAACAGCACACTGAGATGAAACATTTTACACACTATTAATATCCAACTACTGTGCACCAACTGGACTAATGACAAATTGCAATGTATTATGCGACTTTTTGTTTAATCTTTGTCGAATTTCAGTTGCCAAAGGTTCTTTTACCTGCATGCCAAAGTATACACAGGTATACACAACTAGACAATGTTCCCTGACATTGGGTTATTATGCCTGAACATCCCTGGGAACTTTCTTGGTCAACATCACAATATAACCCTGGACCTCCTGGTTAGCAAACCAGGGCACTATACTCACGGAGACATTATTCAGATGAAGTAAAGCAGAAATTATTGAAGTACTATTTTTAAGATCCTGTTCAATTACCTTTATTATGAAGCTATCGCCTTAATCACTAAGACAATATTCAGATGGCGTAATGCAAAAATGATTGAACAACCATCTTGTTCAATTACCTTTATTATGAAGCAAAATTTAAAATATATGTACAGGTACATTAAGAGATGATGAATGTTAAAATTTCAAATGTATACATGTATCTCACGTTGATGAATTGATCAAAAATATCTAAAATTTCTCCAGTACTCCATAAAATTCTTCTACTATATTAAGTTGACATAAATTACAGCAAGAAGATGAATTTCTTTTCACATGAATTTTGTTGTAAAAAGTCTAAAGCAAATATATAAGTTAACGTGAAGAGCTGGAACTGGATCTGCTGTAACGTCGTCTTCTAGCGGGTGATCGCGATCTTGTTCTTCTACGTGGAGGGGAACGACGTCTAGGAGGGGATCTGTAATTAGAAATAAAAACATAAATTAGGCCATACAAAAGAAACATTCCTTTCAAACAATACCATGTGCAATTTAGATTTCTATCTTTTTCTTTTAGTCAAAAATATCGGCCAACATCTTTGACTAATTAATCCAAGGTTCTACTTTAATTTCATCATCTGCAAATTAATGCAGAACAGCAATTGGTTTCATAATTACTAAATGTCTTTCTAAAAATAGTGTCCCTCTATTATAACAATGTACTTTGAAATAGATGAGATTATGATTGAATTGCAAAAAATATTCATTAAAACAAATGACCTCCTTCTGAATCTTGGTGGAGAATCTCGCCATCTTGGTGGAGGTCGACGAGGAGGGCTCCTTCTTGGGTTATATCGCATAGCTGGTCTCTGTGCTAAAATAGCTGCGGCAGACACTTCTTGTCCATCTATTTGACCTAATAAGGGAAATGAAATATAATTAAAATTTGGATCTGAAAAAACGACATATTGATAATGTGACCAGAGAAATGATTACAACAAAGATGGGAGCTTGTCAGCCAAAGTTGCTTGTGCAATAGCTCTTGGTCTTAATCATTCCAGACCAAATAGTCCCAGCTTCGACTATAGCAAAACAGTGCTAAATTTGGATACAGTGTCAAAGGTCATAGAGATTCTCTCTTGCCTTATGATTGGATTTGAAGAAGAATGACCTTCATCCTGGCTATTTCTTGTGAAAAGTTCAAACATTCATAACTTTGCTCAGAATAAAGTAATTTTACAGGAAATTTTAAATATATTCATTTTTTATTATCCATTTTTCAACAAGAATGACCAGCTCTTCCTTTCTCTAAATCTTACATAATGTTTCTTTCACTATAAAATCAGCATGTCAACCCTAGTGCCTTGTGTAAGACAATGGTAGGGTGACCCGTGCACTTTACAGAAAGTTGGTCTCGACACAGCTAAATGTGCACGCTTCAGTTGCGTGTCTCAAACTGATTTCTGACTACCCCGCACTCGCTTTGAGTCGATAAATAGCCATGGCACGTGCAATTCTCTACAAATATATCAACTATTACAGCCGTAAAATTTAGCTTCTTGGTTATTACAGCAGCTTTAGTAATTACGTTTGTTTTATTTTTTAAATTGCTTTATCATTAACTGTACCGTTAAGAGCGGCATCTTTTGGTTTAGTACAAATACTATCTCTGAATCACTTTCTTTAGCAGGAACATGATACTAGCAGTAGTTTCATTTTACTTTTACAAGTTTCTTAAAACAATTGTTGAGTTGTCTAAAGTGCTTATTTCTAAATTCAATTTCTTGTTCTAGCTTTCTGTTATGTTTCGTAAAAAAATAGTAGTGATTATCCCGACCTGTCAATCAGACGTAGAATGGTCGATAGACTGGTTAAGCGAGACTAATTTCAAAACAAGGGCACGTAACCTATCTTTTACTCAAAAGTGTCTGGATGTTATGGACGCAACTTGGAACCAGTTTTCAGTCTATTATTTATAGATGATTAATGGTCATAGCTTATTAAGTACAACATGATCGTTTATTTAGTAACTATAATTGTGTGAAACTGGTTTGAGGCTTGGCATATATATAAATATTGTGGCGTAATTGTCGAGATATTTGGAGATATTTATTTATGGTGGGTCACCCTAACAATGGTATTGGCAGGTGTATCACACAACTAATAATTAAGTTAGTTAATTAGTCACTATCTCCTCATATTATAAGATAATATTATATGATTGTCCGTTAAATGGAGGCCACTAATGTATATGTATTATAACTTGTGAATGGCTGTTAAATACTAATAAGGTTGTTGATAACACCTTGATCCTTATAAATAATCTCAAGTAGAAGCATAACTCAGACAGAGAGGCAGGCTTACCGAGAGACAAGCTTTCCCAGAGATAAGTTTATCGAGAGACTGTTGAAAGGAGACTGCTCTTCAAGACAGAACGAGGGCATGTGACAATGGAAGCAGACGTGAATTAGGACGATGGCTGTAATGACTACAATCTGTATATGTTATGTTTCTTTGTTAGAATTATAGATATAATAACTTGTAATGTTTGTTCCTGCATTATTGAAATAAAGAAGTCAAATCCACAGTCATCGTTAGCATTAGATCCTTTGATCCTATGTTACACTTGTCCAATTTCAATACTGTATTTTTTTTTCAGAACTGATATTTCAAATACAAAACCAAAATTTTAAAATACTGTCTGAGATTAATAGGATTCTACAAAAAAAATTTGTGTAGATTTTAAGAAATATACCACAAAAGATATAAATGAAACTGGAAATTAAACTGTACAGTATAAGAAGAATTTATTTGCATGTATGCTCTGGGGTGTTTTCAGATCCAATAATTATGAATAGCATCTTTATATTATGTAAATATTTATTGAATAAATAGTGTTAGAACTAGAAGACAAAAAATAAAGATCTTTTACCTCCATCCATATATTTTATAGCTTTTTCAGCATCTTCACTTTTCTCATACTCAACATAAGCAAATCCTCGATTAAAATTGGGATGTAATCTGTCCACAATAACTTCAACATTCTTAATTGGGCCATAAACTGAAAAAATCTCTGTGATGTGGTCTTTATTTACATTCCTGGTCAATCTGCCAATGTGAACTTTGGATGGCTTTGGTGTAGGACTCCTCCTTTTTCTCTTGGGTGAGCTAATACAAAAAAGAAAAAGACAGAAATGATGTTACATTATTTTGAATAAACCTAGCATTTATAGACCTGTGTTTGTCTGGATGTGATACAGTTTTAATTCTAGTTTAATATCCATTTGACACAAAGTAGGTCATTTAGTAAAATTTAGCAATGGTAGGAAACCAGAGGACCGAGAGAATACCCAGGAGTATGGGCAGGCGACCATATTCCATTACTCTTTATCAGGTACAAGTACAGGATCGAAACCATGCCAGATCTTCTTGTCGAAAGTGCACACTTTAGACCATTTGACTACCACCCAGCCCTGTGAATATGAAAAGGAGAGACAGGGTGGGTAGATTGCTTTACACTTTTGCATGTACATGACTTATTCACCTCAAATACTAGTTTTGCAAAATTAATGATGTGGTCTTTCAGCAGTGTTCACCAGTAAGAAACTATTAAATATTTAATAAATTTTTCACTGCAACAACTAAAATAACGCATTTTAAAATTCATGAGAAACTGATCTGAACTAGAGTAAGTACAAATAAAAATCAAATAAAGAAAGAATTCAATGGTTTAACGTCCTTTTATGATTTGCTATATCCGTGAACAATGTTCTACACTAGTTTTACCTAGCACTTTTCTTCTGCTATGTTCAGTTTTACACTGATGTTAGCTAGCACTTGTCTTCTACAATGTTCAGTTTTACACTGGTGTTAGCTAGTGCTTTTCTTCTACATTGTTCAGTTCTGAACTGGTTTTACCTAATGTCTTTCTTCTGTTTCAGTTCTACACTAGTTTTAACTAGTGCTGTTCAGTTCTACATTAGTTTTACTTAGCGCTTGTCTTCTTCACTAGTTTTATCCAGCACTTTTCTTCTGCTATGTTCAGTTCTACACTAGTTTTACCTATCGCTTTTCTTCTAATAATGAAATATAAGTATATGCAGCATTGAACAAAGATAAAAAATATAAAGTACCTAACTTAAAACTACAGCCTGTAGCTTGTTTAGGTTAAGATTTAGATGTAAGTTTTGACTAACATGCGGGCAAAAAACATACTTACCCAGATTTTTGACGCCGTCTTTTTTCTCTGCTACGAACAGTACTGGAGGATGACGAACTACTTGACCTTGAACTCCTTGAACCAGAACTGCTTCCACTGCTGCTACTACCTGAACTGCTGCTACCAGACGATGAAGACCTCGATCTACTTCTTGATGATCTACAAGCATACCAATTTTCACAATATAAAATACCATTACAGTAAGTAAGAGGACCATTAGGTGACAAACTTCTGCGAAATTTTCTGCTAAAACTTGGATTTCTTGATATCCTTCTCCATGGTCTTCCATCATCCTGAAAGTAACGATTACTATATCTTGTTCGTGATCTCAAAGACCAGGAGTAGCTGTCAATACTTTCATCATCACTGGCATCGGATTCTGTAAACATGCTGCTAAAAATACTGCCTGATGTATCAGACATGTTATCATAAGAGAGATATCTGCTAAAAGATGGCTGCCTCGGATATTCTGTAGACTCTCTCCATCCCATATCTCTGTCCAATCTGAAACAAATTTAATATATTGTGATATTCATCTAGCATTACTTAAATCTGAAATACAAAATTTCATTTTTACCAATTCTCTTATGGGGTACCATACTTTTTTCTCTGATTATTCTGGATTAATGAAACAGCAATGACAATACTTGTGACAGACAGACACATCTAAAAAAAGAAAACAGATAGCTTAGCTATTAATAATATTTTATACAAATAACATCCTGCTATTAAAGAGGCATTGTGTGAGAACTAAATCTGCCTGTTGCATGGGATATTTCTTGTTTCAAATGATATATAACCTACTATTTAAACATTTATTCACATTACAAGCCCAAATAAGGTACTTTGATTGAAAGTTTCAATATATTCATTTTCAATTATCTTTTTTTGAACTATTATAACAAGAACGGCTAACTCTTCTCTAGATCTTGTATAACGCCTCCTTAATTTAAAATACATGTACCATTTTCAGCTGAAGAAGTTCAATGCTCCAATGAAACCACATTGATTGTTTCATTAATTAATTAAAGCCAAAGAATTCTGTCAAAGTCAACTGCGAAGTTATATTCCCCCGGATTCATATATTGGACATGAGCTTATTCTGTTAAAAAGAGTACCAGTATTTAAAAAGAACTATCTTTAATATAAGAACACTTACGAGCTACTTCCACTGCTAGTAGAACCTGGTCGTTTTTGTTTTGGACGCCCTCTTTCTGGACTACCACTTTTTTTGTGATCCGCACCTTTGCCTTGTGCTCCTGTACCAACCGTCCTGAAGGTAAAAGAAAAACTAATTAAGGTTATTTTATTATTATGCCACACAGGTAGTATTAGATTTTTTTCTCTCTAAATACTACACTAATAACTACTCTACCAATAGAAATAGTATAAGTTAGATGAAACTGAAAGTTTTGAAGGCAAAGATTCATAGAAAACCAGATGTAAACATGGTAATTCAATTTACTTTGAACTCCAACTCTGATTTTGGTCAACCAGAGATATTTTCACATGTACTGGAATGCTGAAGTACAGAAAATTTATTAAATGAATAAATGCCATAATCTCAAAAACTATTTCATCAAAGCATGCACACTGGAGCTAGTTGGTTCTGAAAATAAATGTCTTTAAAATGTTTAAATTTCTTGAAAGACTTTATAAACCACTACGGTACACAATAAATATGATGCAGATTAACCCTTTGAACACATATTTCGCAGTAATCCAAATTTTGAAATATGCGGCTACTGCTTTAATTAAGCACATGCATGAATTGATGTTTAAAAACTTGGACATATAATATTCAGATTAAGATTTAATTTTACTTTAGTGTTAACAAAGGAAAAACCTCAATTTGCTCAACATAATGCATTAGTCAACAGCTTCTAGAAATGAAAATATTTGGTAAAAAATGTGTGCCTAATCTACTGAGGAATATGGTACTATTGTTATAATATTTGATATAAAGAAACTGTTGACAAGCATGTGCTTCAGAGGGTTAAACGGCAAATCATTCACCTTACAAAAGAAATGGAATCTATTTGGGATTTTGGACTTTGCTCTATAAATAAAGTGAGAGGTTAGTACCAGTCAATGCTAGAAGACTTATAAATACAGATATTTTTTTCTACTGCATTTTTACATTAACTATATCATGCAGTTTCTTTAAATGGAACAGTTTAAATGGGACACAATGCTGTTTTTTTCTCTACTGTTTGAAAGGAATTGTACCCACTGAATCCATTTTTTGCTTGTCAGTCTGGAGGGTTCTGAATAATTAGCTAATTAATAATTACGTAATTAATTAAAATCCCATTTGTTTCAAATGACGCAAATACCGGTATGTGAATACTGAACTGATTTAGCACATAAAAATTTTAAAATTCATTAGAAATTTAATACAACTAGACTAAATTGAAATAAATAAATCAACAGCATTATGTCCCTTTAAGTTTTATCTTTAACCCAACCAGATGATTGGATCATAATGAAACTTTTGTAAATATCCTCATGCTTGGAATTCTATAACAAATATTGATAAATTGGAAATAAAAAAAGGAAAATATTATTTAGTATCAGTACACACTATGCAATCTTTTATCAACAACATTACATTTATATACTATAACACATAGATTTCAAAAACAGCTACTACGTTTTGAAGAGTATTCTCTCAATGTTGCCCAAATATATTAGTTTCGGTTTTCCATAAGTATGTGTTATAGGCCATTCAGATGATTACCTTCAAACTAAATTAAAAATCACCAGGGATTTTTAGACAGGATAGTGTTGACATGTACTATAAGCCAAACCAGATTAACTATTTTGACCTCATCTGGTAAAGTTAACGACGCATGGGCATGTTGTCATTTTGCCGTGTAGATACATGTAATTTTCTGCGCATGTTCAAAGCTAGCCAGAGCCGGCGTTTTTAAACTAACCCGTTTAGTCGGCCAAGATAAACCAGCTTTTCAGAAAAGCATTCTCGAAGACTGGTAAAGAGCTGGATTTTTTAAACTGCTTTATTTGCTCCACACATGTTAAAATGATTTAACGATAGACAGTGTTTTTAAATCAATTTATTACTCCATCCAGTTACTAAACACCTCTAAGAATAACATTGCATTTTGTTATTGCAACAATTGCTGCACAGTTAACAGCACATCAAAACTTGCACAATGTATCGAAGTCTGTAAATTTTCTTCAGTTAAATGATAAGGCCGAATAGCGCTTACAATTCTAAGTTCTAATACACAACCACTAAACCGATGAAGATGAAAAAAGGCATAGCGTGTGTGTTTTTATGATTAATGTAAGAAATATAAAATTTGGATTACATATTCACTAAATACTACAACAAAACTATGAAAGAAAATGATGTGAAACAATGATAACCTCTCCTGTGCTGATGTATCTGATTGAACTTGTCTTGCTTCAACCCTAAAATTTTAAAAAGAAATTGGTTAGAGAATAGAGACATACTATCAATGAAATTTCAACTAATGGTTGACGGTTACCCATAGTAAGCACGTCAATTTATTTCATCAGAAAATTTAAATAATTTAACGTTGTGAGAGATGATACATCTACATGTAGTTTTATTAAGATTAAAAATATATTTCCACTTATAATAACTAATACATTTATTATGTTGTCATCATCAAACTGCTGTTCTAATAAGTTATAATGATGTGATTGACAGTCATTATTGACATCCTATTATATTTTGTAGGTTTCCTTAACCATGATCAATTTCTCAAGCTTGATATCTAAAGTCAAACCAAATCATCTATCTATTTACACATTTTACTTGAAATGTGTAGTTATGTGTGTATAGTATAAACAAAAAAGAACAATCCCAAGCATACATGTAACTTTACTTCAATATGGACACAAAATATATTTTTCGAATAGTACTTCCATTTGTACCAAAACTTAATTATCAATTATATAAACAGAAACATTGGATCACCCTAAATAACAAATAATAAAATAAAAGTAAGCAAAATTGTGAGTATAGTTAAGGCCTTGACGAAAAGACTACGTCTAAGCTATTAGTTACTCAACAAAGGAAAATACACAAAATATAACTTCAAAAAGTAACGAATAAAAGTAAACTGAATTTGCATGACAGACAAAATTTCATCCTGATTAAAATCTGATGTGTTAAATGTTATATTAATATAAATAATTTTATTCCACTCATTTAATTCATTGGTGAGATACAGAAATGATTTTGTTTTCAACAATCGACGGTTATTTTATGACACAAACTAGAATGGAAAATGACTTCCCAAGAATTTGTTGTCCAAATAAAAATTTATTTATGTAGTACTTGCGTCACATTCATCAATAACCCAAATAACACATCAGATCTACCTAGGTTCTTTTAGAAACATTCTCTGATCGAATGCTGTCCGCTTACTGTACCTATATAGCTGCAATATGAAAATACCGCTCTTCCCCACTTCTGTTCTAATGCTATTTTGTTCTAATGCAAAATTCTACTTGTAAATAGCCCTAGAACACTGTTGGTGAACACTTTTCTAGGGCTATTTTCAAGTAGAATTTTGCATTAGAACAAAAAAGCATTAGAACAGAGGTGGGGAAGAGTGGTATTTTCATATTGCAGCTATAATAGGGACGGATAGAAACGGTCAGCGGACAGATCTACAGATCAACCCAATTCAGCTCTTTTTTGCAGCTAAATCAAGCAGTCCTTCTTATTCAAAGAAATTTAACCGAACAACCAAAGAACTCTTATAACAAAATCAAATTATATATTCAGAGATAATTTAAAGTAATTTAACTGAAAAAACAAACTCTTATAATAAGATTAAATTCAAGATTTTATAAATTTACACCTTGTCCTTTCTACTGGTCTTAATGAGGGTGTAGATTTAGATTTTCTTACAGTACTATCAGTCATCTTAATAAACTGGAATTGAAAGTTACATATCAATGAAAGAAAAGGCATTATTCAATTTTCTTTTGATGTATCTTTCTTAAAGCCTTTGGCTGTGGGCCTATTATTCATGATGTTCATGGATAATAATTAAAACATGTACCGGTAGCCTACATGGTATAAGCTTACATGTACTTCTTTTATACTATAGGATTATAAAGCATAATACATGTATGTATATAGTCCTTCTATGACAACAATAGTAATAGTAAAAAAAAAATTAGAAATATAATTTTCCAACGGAAGAGAAAAATAACAAGAGTGCTCACTGTACCATATCCCTAAATATAGTGTATTGATAATTAAAGTGACAGTGACATTCTTAACTTTTGTTCTTTAAAAAGACTAAATTTTAAATGACCAGAAAATGCTCATAAACAAACATGATGTTCATGAACGCTTCTCTATCAGTCTGATCTACTTTTAAAAGGTAGCAATAAATGACATTGCTGATGTTCTTAAATTTGTGACAGACGACAGTTTAGCCATAAACAAAAGTTCCCATTCAGTAAATATTTCCTGAATGTAAAGGCCTAGTAGTAGGCTAGTGTAAGAGGAGACCTCTTTCCAGCCTGCTTTCTTCTGAAAGCCAGACAGGATACAATACAATAGAAAAGTCCTACAAAAAAATAGAAAAAAGTTTAATTAGTTCCCTCGGCATAGCCTATGGCAATCAAAATGGACTAGATTGAAATGCCAACTGAACAAGCAAACCCCAGGCTGAAACTACTCGAGTCTAGAGAGACTAGAAAAGACAAAGATGAAAATGTTTGCCGATATTCTACTAGACTAAACGAAAAAATATTCTTTTCGTCTTCGATAATGTCATGTGAAAATATACCTACATATTTATACGTTAAATGCAAAATAGTTTATGTCGAAAAAACAGAGAAATTTTGCTTTTATGCACAAGTGATACGCAGGTTGTATGTCAATAAACGTCGCGTGCGTTCTGCTGGAAAATGTTACCTCGCGTATGATTGGCTAGAAATATCTTTTGACCAATCAAATGTCCCAATACATTTATAAAATAAAAATGGCTGCGTCCATGAAAGAGATGTCTTGTGATTCCGATCTCCGCCCGGAAGAACTATTAAAAGACTTGACATCACAATTCTTTGAAATGGTACCCGTACGAAAGATTAAATGGAAGGCAAGACATTATGTGTCCAATTTGAAAATGACTAAATTGACCCAAAAGCAATTTCTGGCATAAATATAAGGCAAAACCACTTGTTTTTGTTTTGTAGGGGAATACGCGTTGAAGTGCGACGAGGCCTACAGCAGTATAGGCCTACATCACCAAGTTTGAAGAATCTCAATCAAATACGACTTGATGAAAAAGAAAATTATGTAGATTTTATATTATAATTTGTACAAAATGAATGAAAAGATCAACATAATACTTGTCAAATTAGGTAGTTTACAGGATAAGATTCCTTTGTTATTTTATTAGAGCAGCAATGCCAAAATGGGGGGGGGGGGGGGAGAGGGCAGCACAGAGACCACATTAGCCAATTAGCCAGTCTATGCTCGCCTCTGCCAACGGAACACTACATGATTAAACATATTAAATAATTCCGCAGTTGGTTGTTGTTCATGCAATGCTTTTAGTTTTAGCAGATTAATTATTACTGAAATCAAGACAATTGAATGACACTACTGCAAGTATACGTGTAGGGCCTACATAATCCCAATGACAACAAGTATAGGCCTATTGTTGATTGATATTACCTGTACTGGATGTCAGTCATGTTATCGATTCAATTAAATTGAGTAGGTGTTCATTTCATTATCAATTTTTTTTAGTTGCTCCATTCCTAAAGTTATTTTTCATCTTATGGATAAACAATGCAGTACCGGTACCGGTAGCTTAACTATGGTCTGATAACACATGACACAATTATATGGAATACAAATTACTTAAAGGATATATTTCAGCGAAGTTTCGACGAGGGTTCTCCCATCTTTATCAAGCTGGTCTGATCTCCAAATTGTTATACATGGGTTATGTCCCTTTCCTATAGATATCAAGTGTGGGTAAAAAGTCAGATTTTGTCACAAAATTGTCAGTCCTTTACTCTATCTTGCATAATCTCCAACCTTGCGGGTTTTCTCCGGGTCCTCTGGTTTACCCCCAATGTTAAAGACCCTACGCACAAGCAAATTATTGAAATAAAATTGAACCATATGTTAGTCCCAAAATGACCTAGTTTGTGTTGAGTGGACATTAACCCCATTTCTCCCTCTATCTTCTGTAATCAACAGAAAAAATCATGAGATCACTTTGTCTATGAATAAGAAATTTTATTATTTGGATAAGATGTGAATAAAATGGACATTTTTATTGATTAAAGATCCTGTGAATATGTGAAAGCTTGACCAGACAAGACACTAACCAACTAGTTAAAGATGCATTATGTAAGATTGAGATAAAGAAAATAGATAATGAAAAGAGAATATGTTGAAAATTTCAGTCAAATTACTTCATTCTGAGCAGAGTTATGACTGTTTAAAGAATAGTGTAATCTCTATTGTCATTGCTACCGTTATTAGATAATCCATTTTTTACACACCCACATTGAAATGTGGTCGTATGTTGCCGTCGCCCTGTCCATCAGTAGGTATGTCTGTATTGTGGACACTCTAGAGGCTAAAGTTAATATTCATTTGACTTTAAATTTATATACACACTGTTTAAGGTTAGGAGACAAAGAAGGTTAGGAGACAAAGAAGCTTATATTGCTTTTCAATGATATTCGATAATTACTGCCAGAGTTATGGCCCTTGATCACTTGAGAAATCTTGTGGAGGCGCTAGAGGCTTAAGTTAATATAGATTTATACACAGTGTTTAAGTTTAAGATCATGAGACAAACAACCTAAAGAAATTCTAATGATTTCTGATAGTTACTTAATGGGCTGTTACTTGTAATCAGATTTTAGTGTTGTACATTTTTTCATTACTGACAAAAGAAAAAATATGTGACAACCCTTGTTAACTGCCCAGACAATTTAGCTGCTGTGGGTGTATGTTTCATTGTCTAGCAACCAATCTTTATTTAAATTATTAACTGGTAATCATGTTTAAATCAACACCATCCTATAGTCTAGGGAGTTTATTATAGGCTTGACATGTGAATAAATGTCCAATTAATGATTTATATAACATTTGAGGCCAAATGAAAGATCTGTAGGCAGATTACATAATGCATCTTTAATTAATTTTTCTTTCAGGAAGAGCAAGCATCGGCTTTAGTAACATCTCAAGATATACAGCGCAGTGTTTTACGTGCGACTTTACAACATCCTGTTTGTCTCATATATCCACCATCTTTAAGTTATAGACGATATTTTATGAAAACATTAGTACACAAGGTAATCCATTCTTTATCTATCAAATTTGCTAGCTGGGAGCTGTGGTGACTCAGTGAGTAAGGCACTGGCCTGTTAACAATTAGTTCTCAGATTCAGTTCCTGTGATGGTCGGGATTCTCCTGTATGCTGTCAGTGGTGCAGGACGGAAGGTCTGGCAAGGAACAGCATGTAGTTGTTTGGATGGGATAAAAAAAAAACAATCTTCCGCGTACACTTTGGCATGCAAGTAAAATTCTTGGCAGTTGGATAACTTTAATTCACTTTCATTTGTTTTACATTTAAAGCTTATAAATAAATTACAAAAAGTACAGAATACTGCAGCTAGACGTGTTACTTTAGCTAAAAAAATGTGATCACATAACTCCTGTTTTGTATGATTAACACTGGTTACCTGATATCGAATTGATTTAAGATTTTATTACTTATTTTGAAATGTTTAAATAATTTAGCTCCTGCTTACCTCTTAGATCTCTTAGAACTTAATACACCTAGTCAAACATTGTGTACATCAGATAAACTACTTTTTAAGCCCAAAATTGTGTGTTTGTCCTTAGGTATTGTAAATTTATGTTTTATTGTTTTTCAGTTGGAGGAATATCATGCTGAGATATGTGACGAGATTTATGAAGCCTTCGCTGATTTATTAGAACAAAGAGAAGAAGAAGATGACACATTGTGTTATAAAACATATACACTGGTAATATATCTATCTTCAGGGGTTATTCGGTTGCATCGCCCGCCCTTTTTCAGAAAGTTAATAGAATTGGGAGATAGAGAAATGGGGTTTAACGTCTACTCGACACAAACTAGGTCATTTCGGGACTAACACATGGTTCAATTTTATTTCAATAATTCGCTTGCGCGTAGGGGTCTTTAGCAGTGGGAGGAAACCGGAGGACCCGGAGAAAACCCACAAGGCTGGACAGGCGATCCTACTCCTTATCACATACAACCGGGGAATCGAAACCCCATCAGTTGACTCAATGACAGACCGTATGAAACAGCGCAGCGCGCACGTGCTAACCATTCGGCCATCCAACCCCCCTTAATAGAATTGAATCAGAAGGGGTTCCACTATGTGAATAAAGTATACTTGTAAAGGCTTAGATTTTTTGGTTACTATCTAAGGGTAGCCCATGAGATGTGAAAGTTGGTATCTTCTGAGTCTCATTGCCAATGGCATTGAAACAGATATCACTATCAACTACACATTTGCCAAGGTCTATCTCAAGAGATGATGAGTGGCCAGACTCAAGGTGTGTTGAGACTGCTTATTTAACTTGTGGGACAAAATCCTGTCCCAAAATTCTGGCACTAAAATCTCAAATTTATGTCATTTTGAGCACAAAAACTGAAGGGGGCACAAAAACTTTAAATCCATGACGTAAAGCTCATCCTTGCACTACCTTCACTTAGCGACCGGCCCCCCATTGTCCTACAGGTTTGTTAATGATTGCATGTGGCACACAGTGATTGGGTTTTTGCAGAGTTCTATGTCATTGCAGAAAATCAAGCGAAGAAATGAGGGAGAGAGAGGGAGTCATTTTGAAACGCACATATTTCATTCCAATAGTTGGTTAGTCTTTAGAAGTGGAAGAAAACTGGAGGACCCATAGAAAATCCTCATGGTTAGACAAGTGACCCTACTCTGTGTCACGTACAAGCTTGGGATCGAAACCATGCAACTTGACTTAATGACAGATTTTATGATCTACAAAAAACTGTATGCATCAATTCCCCCCTAACCCACACCCCGTTACTCACTTGAGTCTATCTGTTTATATTGTAGCCAACAGGAGATCAGATATCATTACAAGAATCAGTGAATTTAGTTTCTCAGGGTACAACAGGTCTTAGTACATGGCAGGTTAGTAGTTTTTATATGCCCACATTTTCATGTGGACGTATTATGCCGTTGCCCCTGTCCGTCTCTACAGGTCACAATTCTTATCCGATTTTGACGAAACTTGAAATATAGGTTTATCCCCAAAAGATCTCGGCTGCTTTCGATATTGGCATGTATTTCATCGAAACTGCATGGATTATGGCCCCTGATTGTACGAAAAATCATGTTTTTAGCTTGTGGACCCTATAGAGGTCCCAATTTTTATCCGATTTTGTTGAAACTTGAAATGTAAGTTTATAACCCAAAGATCTCGGTTCCTTTCGATATTCGCGTATATTGGACCGTAACTTCCTGAATTATGGCCCCTGATTGTACGAAAAATTGCGTTTTTAGCTTGTGGACCCTATAGAGGTCATAATTTTTATCCGATTGAAAAAAACGTATTATTATATCACCGTTACACCCTAAGGACGGCTGAGTTCGAATTTCGTAAAAATTGGCCCAAAATTGACAGACAAAATGGCCGCTGTTCGTTCTCAAATAGTGTAAAAATATGGTATATCAAGTTTGTGGACCTTATAGAGTTCACAATTTTTATCCGATTTTGTTGAAAATTGAAATGTAAGTTTATAACCCAAAGATCTCGGTTCCTTTCGATATTCACGCATATCGGACCGTAACTTCCTGAATTATGGCCCCTGATTGTAAGAAAAATCGCGGTTTTAGCTTGTGGGACCTTATAGAGGTCATAATTTTTATCCGATTTAAAAAAACGTATTATTATATCACCGTTACACCCTAAGGACGGCTGTGTTCGAATTTTGTGAAAATCGGCACAAAATTGACAGACAAAATGGCCTCCGTTCGTTCTCAAATAGCGTAAAAATATGGTATATCAAGGTTGTGGACCCTATAGAGGTCACAAATTTAATCCGATTTTGTTGAAACTTGAAATGTAAGTTTATAACCCAAAGATCTCGGTTCCTTTCGATATTTGCGCATATCGGACCGTAACTTCCTGAATTATTGCCCCTGATTGTAAGAAAAATCACGGTTTTAGCTTGTGGGACCCTATAGAGGTCATAATTTTTATCCGATTTAAAAAAACGTATAATTATAACACCGTTAAACCCTAAGTATGGCTGAGTTCGAATTTCGTGAAAATCGGCCCAAAACTGAAAGACAAAATGGCCGCCCTTCGTTCTCAAATAGCGTAAACATATGGTATATCAAGGCTGTGGACCGTATAGAGGTCACAATTTTAATCCGATTTTGTTGAAACTTGAAATGTAAGTTTATATAACAAAGATCTCGGTTCCTTTCGATATTTGCGCATATCAAATTGTAATTTCCTGAATTATGGCCCTTGATTGTAGGAAAAATCACTTTCTTTTTAGCTTGTTCTCTATCCATCTCTCGAAAATGTTGGCGCATCCTGTCTGGCTGCCGCTGGTTTTTATACTATAACACCTATTTGTCCAATATAAAATATGTACTGTTTACTGTACTGTTATACTGTTTACTTTCCTTACTTTAAATTAGGGCTCACTTGCTTTAGTTATACCTCCTGACACCGAATATTACTTCATAAAGATAAGAAATCAATTAGTACATTACATATTTCTAGATTGCTAATCTGTTATGCAATAATGTCTCGTCGATTAAAAGATTTATTGAAATGTACATTATACCAATCGATCAGTAGAGTACGTGGAAGAGGGTTCAGAGTTATACTCTAGTCACTTGATTTATGTTCCGTGTAACGGGTGTACAACAATAGTTAAATCAAGTATACCCTTACATAGATGTAAGAGATTAGGTTTAAAGATGTATCTTCTAATGGTACCATATGCAGTTCTTAGGAATTTCATAGTTCCTTTTTTTGAAATATACTAGTTATTGGTAAGTATTTTTGGCAGCCAATTGAATTTGGCAAAGATGACTGATGAGACTAACTTCTTTTAACATTTGAAGACACATTAATCTAAAATGCTACCACATGTATTTAATAATTAATATTTTAAAGTACTTGTACATTTATACTCTTTTTTTTATATCCTTTAATAGGCAGCTCAACACTTAACAGAATTTGTAATGGAAAACAAAGCCTCTTTTCAGAACAGGTAGAGTAATTAATCTTTATTTAATACTACCTTAAAGATACATTATGGGAGATTAGATAAAGTTAAATACTAGATAATGTAAAGGGAATTTGCTGAAAATTTGAGTCAAATTGACCCACTCTGAACCGAGAATTTAGCGATTGAATTTTAGGCCTGGCCTCGATCATCATTACTAAAGTCAGTACGATAAAATTTTTTATTTAATCATCAATGAGCATTGAGCAGTAGATCGGATTCCAATCCAGTAAATATCGCAGACTAACGATGACATCGAGAGTTGATTATGGTCTGGATAAGTTAATTAATTTCTCATTAATAATTCAGGTAACTTTTCAGGCCTAAAGAAAGACCTGCAAAAGGCAGATTTAGTTCTTGCATAATGTTTAAAGTTATTCATATATTTATACATTATGTATTAAATGAAATGAAATGAAATGGGGTTTTACGTCCTACTGTTCTGCTCCGAACTGGGCTAATTAAGACGGGCATACACCATACAGTGTGCTATGAGGGAAATTTTGCTTTGTAATTATGTTTTGATTGATTTATTTGTAGGAATATACTGGAGTTAGGAAGTGGTCTGGGATTAACAGGAATTGTTACTTGTCATAGATGTAAACCACAAACATACACATTTAGTGACTGTCATCCACAAGTATTATTTCTGATGGCTAAAAACATTGAAGCCAATTTGACTCAAAGTGTTCCCAAATTTCAACAGGGATCAGACAGGGACAAAAAGATAATTCGTAAAATCAGACGGCAGTTAAGCTTAAATGCAGAATCGTGTGCAGAATTCGTTGGTGACGAGGCTATTTTAGTTTCGCCAACACAATCACAGGTTTTTGACGCAAAGTGTGATGGCGATGAAATTCAATCGGATCCAAATGATTTAGAACTAAATATGAAATATTGGAAATTGGATAAATGTGGTCTATATGGAACATACAAAAAAGATGAAAATGTAAGAATAGCAAAGCTAGATTGGGAAAATATCAGTGATTCTTTGATGGAAAAATTAAAACCGGACTTTATTTTGGCAGCAGGTTTGTTAATACCTTTATAAAGATTCTTTATGTCATGGAAAAAGAGAGAAGGATGTGGTGTTTAACATCCACTCCACACAAACTAGGTCATTTCGGGACTAATTCATGGTTCAATTTATTTCAGTAATTTCCTCGCATGTAGGTGTCTTTGGTACTAGGAGGAAACCGGGGGACCCTACTCCTTGTCATGTACAAGCTGGGAATCAAAACCACACCACTTGACTCAATGACAGACCTTATGATCTAAAGAGCCTTAGACCATTTGCAACCCACCTCCCTATGTAGCAGAAAATTGGAATTGTATAAACATTTCACTACCTGATAACATTTCTCCAACACCTAGATCTATAATCAAACCACATTTCAGACCCCAATTAATATTGGTAACAAGTCTCATTCCTAACTTTGATGTGAGAACCAGACTTTTCTGTCTCCATATAAGGACATATAACTTGTATTGCGATTTGATGTTTATGTTGTCTGAGTTATCAATCATTTTGTTTCCTGCTCTGATGTTTATATTGTGAGAGTTTATCAATCGTTTTGTATCATGATTTGATGTTTAGGTTGTGTATGTTTATCAATCATTTTGTGTCATTTTGTGCAAGTTGCATATCAATCATTTTGTATTGTGCTTTGATGTTTGTGTTGGTTTGTATCGTGATTTCATGTTTATTTTATATGTATTTATTAATGTTTTTTATATAATGAGGTATCCTATGTGTTTTGTTACAGATGTGGTGTATGATGCATCTATAATGCCATCACTTGTAGCTGTTTTACAAATGTTACTTAAACCTAACGTAGATACAGGACAAGTACCAGTAGCCTATATTGCATCAACAGTTCGAAATGAAGATACAAGAGATAACTTTCTTATTCTATTAGGTAAGCTATTACTGTATAATTATTTACGTTAAAGTGATGCAGGATTTGGCTCTCCCTTGCACAAGAGATGTAAGGAGGTGGCATTCCATTGAAATAGATATACATATCCTGGTACTCCATTTGTAAAGAGATACAGAACCGAACATTTCTTTGCTAGAGATAATGCTGGACCTGGAATTTCATTGCAAGAGAGGTGCATGTGCTAGCATTCCATTGCTAAAGAGATGTCGGTTCTGGTATTTACTTACTACATGATGCAGGAACCAGCGTTCTTTGGCTAGAGAATTGCAGGACCTGCTATTATTGATACACATGCTGGTATCCCATTGCTAAACAGATACAGGTCCTGGTATCCCCATACTCCTTGCAGTGTTTCGTTTGATCAGACCTAATCCCACTCAAGCACCGTCGTAATGAAAGCAAATTTCTCTTCCAAAATATGGCTAGTCAATAGTCTCATTAACAACCAATGCCTAACTGCGTAACAATGTCATTCCGGTTTAAACAGAGCTCCACATTGTTTACATAATAGACCGGAGGCTCAGCGCGGGGGGCACAAAACCAGGCCCAACTTTTCTAGAGTGAAATTTTGCGTAGAATACGATGCCGAGTGGTAATCAGTCCGCCGTTGGGGCGTTTTCGAGATATTCAGGGTCAAAGGTCAAATGAGTTCATTTGCACTGAAAGTGAATGCGCAGTCATTCTTGTATTATGAAAAGAAGCTGAAATTGATCGAAAGTTATCACACTTTCAATAAAAATGTAAACTTACTAAATTCACCTTTAGTCTGAATGACCCTGGAGGTCAAAAGGTGAAATATACCGTTTTTGCACTAGGAAGATTTAAAGTAATAAAATGTCAACGTAAAATATAAAAATTAAAGCGAAACCTGATCTTTAATAATTTTTAAGATGTCTCGTTGATATCCTTGACTTTGTATTGATTGAAAGATTTCCATAGTTGATGTAGGTATAATATTTTTTATTTTCAGGTTCAGAAGGGTTGGTCTACACTATCATTGAACCACCGAAACTCTCTGTCTTTCACTATGACCAATCAGTGCCTATTGAAATCTTAAAAATATCTGCTCAATAAAGCTATCAGATAAAATATATCAGATCTTTGATTTGAATATTTTTGATCATTAAAGGCCCACTTTGAGATATTGGCGTATATTGTCTCCTGTTGCTGACAATTCCTTATCATTCGATTGACTTTATTTTTAAACTTTGTGTTTAAAGTCATGATGCAAGGAAGTCTATTTCTGATAATTACTGCCAGAGTTATGGCTCTTAATCACTTTGAAAAGTCTTGTGTACGCTCTAGAAGCTAAAGTTATCATCCGATGGTCTTGAATTCATGAGACAAAGAAGCCTTTTGGTTTCCATAAATGACAAAAGAAAAAATATGCGACAACCCTTGTGGACTGCTTGGGCGACTTAGCAGATGTAGGCATACATTGTATGTATCTTTGTCTTTTCTCGATTGAGATTCAAGATTTATAGTACAATCCAATTAATATACAATGTATTAATGTTAATGTGCAATCTCATTTATTTTGAATTTATTGAAATTATGTTATTTTGGGAATAAGAGATGTATTTTTTTATATTCTAGCTCGGTATCAATGTACTCTGTTATATACACAAATTTGGTTGTGTTAAATATTTTTGAGAAATATATCAATTATGCGTTACCCCCGTTAACCCTTGTGGACTGCTCAGCGACTTAGCTGATGTGGGCATATGTTTCTTTGTCTTTTTTTTTTGATTGAGATACAAGATTTATAATACTATCCAATTAATATACAATGTATTAATGTTAATGTGCAATCTCATTTATTTTGAATTTACTGAAATTATGTTATTTTGGGAATAAGAGATGTATTTTTTTACATTCTGTATTTTTTTCTGTATCAATGTACTCTGATATGTACACAGATTTGGTTGTGTTAAATATTTTTGAGAAATATATCGATTATTAAAATCACTAGTTATCTCCCCCTTATAAGGACCACCATTTCTTAAAACTAAATCTTTTAAAATACACCGTTGGAAGCAGTATAAACCACATGTACTCTACCGGTGGATGGGTTTGACGAAGAGATTTTTGATTCCAACACTTATTTTCAGATGATATTCATTAATTTGGACAAGCCTATTTATAGTTGACTGCTGGCAGATTTCTGAGTAAAAACTTTGGGAAATTGGCAGATTGTTTTTGTTCTGTACAGTCGCTGATACAATCCCCCTGGGGAAGGGTGAGAATGTCTTCACTACATTTTGAAGCTCTGCTCAGTTGTTTTTCATCTCTTTGTCAGGGATTTTCTGTGTTCCCATCTATGGTGAGAAAACATAGCTACGGAATTGATCCAGAAAGGATGATATTGCAGGAGGATATCAAATGGAAATACCAATGTCACAAACTCTCACAATGAAATATGTATGGCCAATCCGACAATTTGGCAGGAACATATCAAATGGAAATAAGAATGTCACAAACTGTTTCAAATGTAGTAGACTTTGCCAAATGTTTTTGAGGGAAATCAAAATTTTCTGTCCACAATTTCCAAAATTCTATATCCGCACCTGATGTCTAAATTGTTACCTTAGTTACACCAACTCTCTGTGTATTTCCAGATAACTGAGAGTCTAAATAGTCAATCATTAGGAATGAATATAGTCTGTAAAATAAATATGCTTCAAGTGTTAATTAAATGTTTTTCCCATAGAAACATAAACCTCAAGGGAAGTTACTTATTATTTTTTTCAGTTTCTTTTACTGGGGCACAATTCCCGAAAAATTTAACTAAAATATTTTAAGAACACAGCGATTTCATTGGTTGAGATTTAAAATCCTAGGACAAATTTTAGCTCTTGGCCAATAAAAGAGCAGAATTCTTAAAACATTTTAAGTTTTCTTGAAAAAGACCCCTGATTACATGTACATGTATTTAATTAAATAATTCAAATAATAATCACCAAGCAACCAACAAGACTGTAAAATTAGAGTGGTTTAATCTTTTTAAGTTTGTTGCTAGCGGATTATTTGCATTTGAATTATTTACAAGGATTTTTTCCTGCACCTCTAAGATCCAAACTCACAAGTATTGTTATAGGGATTCTTACACACTTTTACCACTTTCAGTGGACGTTTTTTTTTTTTAAAATTAAATAATTCATTCCAGATAATGATATAAATTATAATTTTACAAGCTTATTAATAATAGTATTAATTGTACATTTGTTTATATAAACCTATATTTGTTGTTAAATGTATATTGATTGTTATACTCCCACATTTTCATGTGGATGTATTATGCTGTTGCCCCTGTCCGTCCATTCAAATTTTGTTTGTGGACACTCTAGAGGTGACAATTTTTATCCGATTTTGATGAAACTTGAAATATTGTTTGACATCCCAAAGATCTTGGTTCCTTTCGATATTGGCATGTATCAGATCATGGATTATGGTCCCTTATTGTACGAAAAATCATGTTTTTAGCTTGTGGACATTCTAGAGGTTACATTTTGTAACCGATTTTGATGAAACTTAAAATGCAGGGTTATAACCTTAAGATTTTGGTTCTTTCGATATGGTGTTAAGTATGTAATACCAAGGTTGTGGACCCTCTAGAGATCACAAATTTGATGAAACTTAAAGTAAATGTTTATATCCCATGATATGGGTTCCTTTAAATATTGAAGCATGTCGGACCGTCACATCCTGGATTATGCCCCCTGATTGTACGAAAAATCGCATTTTTAGCTTGTTCTCTGTCCATCTCTTGCAAAATGTGGGCGTATCTTGCATGTTTTTTTTTGTCTATTAAGGTATTTATCAGTCTCTAGTATTTTATATATATATATGTTCACACAATTTTAGTATAAATTGACAAAAATAAGGAATTACTTGTCTTGTATACATAATATATTTGACTGTATGAGCTCATTAGCATTGATGAATATAATCAAGGAGTTGGTCCCTGTCATCCCCAAATCTCTGCACCTCACTGGATAAAATTCACAACTTATCAACCATTATTACTGGTGTTGTAGCTATTACTTTGAAAAGAACCATTGTTTTATTTGCATAACACAGGATGTTGTATGGGCACCACTGGCAACGTATAGGAATTAAATGTTTTTGATGTTCTGAAAATAATCTGAATTTGCAAGTAGTGTACATCATATAGGCAATACAAAGATTTTGGATAACAAAATCTAGGATGAAAATATCACCCAAGGAAGTATGTATATATTAACTCTCATATGCTGCTCTAGATTTATTTGTAGGCTTGAAATTCCATATCTTCATATTCAGCAAACCCTGAATGTTTAAAAGAACTTTTATTAAAGGGAAGAACAAATTTTTTCAGTGTCATAAATAATATAAAATAAAATAAAAACATAAAACATCATGGTTTTACTATTTGTAATTCTCTGTCAGAGTGTGAATCGACTTTAGAAATTACTATTAAAGATGCATTATTTCAGGTCTTTTTTCTGGTTTCAAATGCATAAATTATTACTTTAACAAGACATGTAATTATAGTTAAAGGACAATGATGGTGTCAGCTAGACCTGGCTAAACACATTCAGAATATAATTTTTAACACACAGGTCTTTGTTATGTTTGGTAGAAGGTAGAAAATATTTATTTTCCTTTTTTAATTATTAAGACGGCTTTGTTGTGAAATTTTGATAAAATGCTTATTATCTGAGAAGGATCAAATCTATACTATGTAGAAACCTCTCTTGCAAAATAATCTTTATAAAAACTGATTGCAGAATTTTTCCTTTTAAGCCTAATGCCTTTGCAGCCTTAACTGGCCCAAAAAATTTTAATTTATAATCCCGAAAACCCCAAAATATAATTTGATGATGCACATTGCATGTAACTGGAGTCTGCATTGTATTGGTCCTTAACTGTGGAGGTCCTTCCAATATTTAAGCCACAATGAGCTGTGTATTCTAAGGTTTTGGATGTCATTTGTAATGAACAAAGAAAAGCATATCCTATTATGCAAACCAGGAGTAATTACTAATGGCTGATTCACAAAGGCCAAAACAATAATTAAAAAACGTGTAGAATGGACTAAGCAGGCGTAAAAACGACTGTCGTTCAATTTCACCGAACATAATTGACTAGAAATAATATTGTTTTTTAAATATATATATCACTTTATATACATTTCATCAATATGTACTTTTAAACCCATTTTCGTATATTTTAAGGTCCCAAGGAATAGAGCCATACGCACTTTAATTAATATTAATCCAAAAACTAATCCAAATTTCCCATTCACGGTCTTCTCGCTACAGTCCAGACAGTAAAATGACGATAGATGTCAAACAACCGATCGGTTAGGCCAAGATCTACTAATATCATTGGAATAATCCGTTTTACTACCTTGAAGCATTGGTTAACCATCACCGAACACAATTTGGCGACCTATTCGGCTAGCGACCTATTCGACCGATCCAGCTGGCAACCTATTCAGAATAAATTCAACAGTCGCCCAAACTCAACTATTTTTATCAACCAATCAAATCCAATGTTACGTCTATCAAATGAAAGTAGAATACATGTATATTATTATTTATCCATTCCTTTAGCTCAGAATAGAGATGTAATTTCGCATTATCTTACAAAATTCTGGACATCCAACTAAATATATTCCGAAAGTTAATTAAATAAGCTTTCCAAATATTATTATTAAAAGTCGGCACAGTCATATTAAAGGGGTGCACTCTCATCCTAAACATGGCCAATTTTGAAAAAAAAATTAAAGGGAAAGACCGTTAATATCCCGTGTCAAAATTCGGACCATCCTACTAAATTCTGAGGATCAAACTAAATATATTCTAAAAGGTAATTGAATAAGCTTTCCAAATATTATTAGTAAATGTTGGCACAATCATATTAAAGGGGTGCGCTCTCAACCTGAACATAGCCCATTTTTCAATATTTTAAAGTGAAAGAACGGTAATATTCCGAGTCAAAATTCGGATCATCGTACAAAATTATGAGCACCCGGCTATATATATTCTGAAAGGTAATTGAATAAGATTTCTAAATATTATTATTTTCGACTTCGAAAAAAATACCGGCCTATCTTTGCATTTAGAATATTGAAAAATTGATTATGTTCAGGTTGAGAGCGCGCCCCTTTAATATGATTGTGCCAACTTTTACTAATATTATTTGGAAAGCTTATTCAATTACCTTTTAGAATATATATAGCTGGATTCTCAGAATTTTGTACGATGATCCGAATTTCGACTTCGAAAAACATACCGGCCTATCTTTGCATTTAGAATATTGAAAAATTGATTATGTTCAGGTTGAGAGCGCGCCCCTTTAATATGATTGTGCCAACTTTTACTAATAATATTAGGAAAGCTTATCCAATTACCTTTCAGAATATATATAGCTGGATGCTCAGAATTTTGTACGATGGTTCTAATTTTGACTCGGAATATTACCGTTCTTTCAGAATATATCTGGATGCTCAGAATTTTGTACGATGGTCCGAATTTTGACTCGGGATATTACCGTTCTTTCACTTTAAAATATTGAAAAATTGTCGACGTTTAGGATGAGAGCGCACCCCTTTAATATGATTGTGCCATATTTTACTAAGTATATTTGGAAAGCTTATTTAATCACCTTTTAGAATACATATAGCTGGATGCTCAGAATTTTGTACGATGGTCCGAATTTTGACTCGGAATATTACCATTCTTTCACTTTAAAATATTGAATAATTGGCGACGTTTAGGATTAGAGCGCACCCCTTTAATATGATTGTGCCAACTTTTACTAATATTATTTAGAAAGCTTATTCAATTACCTTTCACAATATATATAGCTGGATGCTTAGAAATTTGTACGATGATCCGAATTTCGACTTCGAAAGAAATACCGGCCTATCTTTACATTTAGAATATTGAAAAATTGGCTATGTTCAGGTTGAGAGCGCGCCCCTTTAATATGATTGTGCTAACTTTTACTAATAATATTTGTAAAGCTTATTCAATTACCTTTCTGAATATATATAGCTGGATGCTCAGAATTTTGTACGATGGCCCGAATTTTGACTCGGAATATTACCGTTCTTTCACTTTAAAATATTGAAACATTGTCGACGTTTAGGATGAGAGCGCACCACTTTAATATGATTGTGCCATATTTTACTAAGTATATTTGGAAAGCTTATTTAATCACCTTTTAGAATACATATAGCTGGATGCTCAGAATTTTGTACGATGGTCCGAATTTTGACTCGGAATATTACCGTTCTTTCACTTTAAAATATTGAATAATTGGCGACGTTTAGGATGAGAGCGCACCCCTTTAATATGATTGTGCCAACTTTTACTAATAATGTTTAGAAAGCTTATTCAATTATCGTTCAGAATATATATAGCTACATGCTCAGAATTTTGTACGATTATCCGAATTTTGACTTCGAAAAAAATACAGGTCTATCTTTACATTTAGAATATTGAAAAATTGGCTATGTTCAGGTTGAGAGCGCGCCCCTTTAATATCATTGTGCCAACTTTTATTAATAATATTTGGAAAGCTTATCCAATTACCTTTCAGAATATATTTTGCTGGATGCTTAGAATTTTGTACGATGGTTCTAATTTTGACTCGGAATATTACCGTTCTTTCACTTTAAAAATATTGAAAAATAGACGACGTTTAGGATGAGAGCGCACCCCTTTGATATGATTGTGCCAACTTTTACTAATAATATTTAGAAAGCTTATTCAATTACCTTTCAGATTATATATAGCTGGATTCTCAAAATTTTGTACAATGATCCGAATTTCGACTTCGAAAAAAATACCGGCCTATCTTTGCATTTAGAATATTGAAAAATTGATTATGTTCAGGTTGAGAGCGCGCCCCTTTAATATGATTGTGCCAACCTTTACTAATAATATTTGGAAAGCTTATTCAATTACCTTTTAGAATATATATAGCTAGATGCTCAGAACTTTGTACGATGGTCCGAATTTTGACTCGGAATATTACCGTTCTTTCACTTTAAAATATTGAAAAATTGTCGACGTTTAGGATGAGAGCGCACCCCTTTAATATTATTGTGCCATATTTTACTAAGTATATTTGGAAAGCTTATTTAATCACCTTTTAGAATATATATAGCTGGATGCTCAGAATTTTGTACGATGGTCAGAATTTTGACTCGGAATATTACCGTTCTTTCACTTTAAAATATTGAAAAATTGGCGACGTTTAGGATGAGAGCGCACCCCTTTAATATGATTGTGCCAAGTTTTACTAATAATATTTGGAAAGCTTATTCAATTACCGTTCAGAATATATATAGCTGGATGCTCAGAATTTTGTACGATGGTCAGAATTTTTACTCGGAATATTATCGTTCTTTCACTTTAAAATATTGAAAAATTGGCGACGTTTAGGATGAGAGCGCACCCCTTTAATATGATTGTGCCAACTTTTACTAATATTATTTAGAAAGCTTATTCAATATCTTTCAGAATATATATAGCTGGATGCTCAGGATTTTGTGCGATGGTCAGAATTTTTACTCGGAATATTACCGTTCTTTCACTTTAAAATATTGAAAAATTGGCGACGTTTCGAAAAATTGACTATGTTTAGGTTGACAGCGCGCCCCTTTAATATGACTGTGCCAACTTTTACTAATAATATTTAGAAAGCTTTACCAATTACCTTTCAGAATATATATAGCTGGATGTTCAGAATTTTGTACGATGATCCGAATATGGACTTCGAAAAAAATACAGGTCTGTCTTTACATTTAGAATATTGAAAAATTTCGACTTCGAAAGAAATACCGGCCTATCTTTACATTTAGAATATTGAAAAATTGGCTATGTTCAGGTTGAGAACGCGCCCCTTTAATATCATTGTGCCAACTTTTACTAATAATATTAGGAAAGCTTATCCAATTACCTTTCAGAATATATATAGCTGGATGCTCAGAATTTTGTACGATGGTTCTAATTTTGACTCGGAATATTACCGTTCTTTCACTTTAAAATATTGAAAAATGGGCTATGTTCAGGTTGAGAGCGCATCCCTTTAATATGATTGTGCCAACTTTTACTAATAAGATTTGGAAAGCTTATTCAATTACCTTTTAGGATATATTTAGTTGGATCATCAGAATTTTGTACGATGGTCCGAATTTTGACACGGGATATTAACATTAACAGTCTTTCCGTTTAATTTTTTTTCTCAAAATTGGCCATGTTTAGGATGAGAGTGCATCCCTTTAATATGGCTGTGCCAACTTTTACTAATAATATTTGGAAAGCTTATTTATTTACCTTTCGGAATATATTTAGTTGGATGTCCAGAATTGTGTAAGATAATGCGAAAATACATCTCTATTCTGAGCTAAAGGAATGGGTAAATAATTAAATATTCTACTTTCATTTGATAGACGTAACGTTGGATTTGATTGGTTGATAAAAATAGATGAGTTTGGGCGACTGTTGAATTTATTCTGAAAAGGTTGCCAACGAACAGGTTGCCAGCTGGATCGGTCGAATAGGTTGCTAGCCGAATAGGTCGCTAAATTGTGTTCGGTCTAACCATCTGCCAGCAGATAAAAAGATAGCCGTTGTAGCTTCAAGGCAACCCAAAATTCCGTCCCATTTACGCCTCGTACCGTAACAACAAATCAGTATCAGGTGCTGACACATGAATACCAAGTGTACGTTGTCCAAACGCCTGACTATTTCCATATAATATTTCCATGGCCCTTTTTATGGCTATTTTTAAAGCTAGCAGCAAGGGAGAGATAAGGCCCGAGTATATCTTTGGGCTTTGGCAGTTTCCTATCCGTGGTTCATCCATTATTTTATACACATCTTTCGTGAATTAGTTCCCAGAAAGATCTTTCGAAAGGTAAATGAAATGAAATGGGGTTTAACGTCCCAGTTTTCTGCACCATCCGAGCTAATGAAGACGGACATGCAGTGTGCTATGGGGGACAGCTGGATCGGTCGAATAGGTTGCTAGCCGAATAGGTCGCTAAATTGTGTTCGGTCTAACCATCTGCCAGCAGATAAAAAGATAGCCGTTGTAGCTTCAAGGCTACCCAAAATTCCGTCCCATTTACGCCTCGTACCGTAACAACAAATCAGTATCAGGTGCTGACACATGAATACCAAGTGTACGTTGTCCAAACGCCTGACTCTTTCCATATGATATTTCCATGGCCCTTTTTATGGCTATTTTTAAAGCTAGCAGCAAGGGAGAGATAAGGCCCGAGTATATCTTTGGGCTTTGGCAGTTTCCTATCCGTGGTTCATCCATTATTTTATACACATCTTTCGTGAATTAGTTCCCAGAAAGATCTTTCGAAAGGTAAATGAAATGAAATGGGGTTTAACGTCCCAGTTTTCTGCACCATCCGAGCTAATGAAGACGGACATGCAGTGTGCTATGGGGGACATGTTTTCGGACAGCGGCGCTACGGTCTACTTTTATATCCACTGACACTGTCAAGGTTTCTTGAACAGTATAATGTAATGCAGGTCAGTTACAGAATGCGTGGTGCAATCTTTAAAAACTTTCGAACCATTAGAAAAGCTGACAAAAAATAGGGCCTCATCATTCGATCTTTCCTCTATTCATTATAGGCCTACATGTACTATACTAGCCACCAAGGCCAGGTAAAGAGACGGACACTTCCGCTTTACAGGGGTCGTTTTATCAGCACCCGGGCTAGAGTTTTACCGGGACAGTGTCGGTTTTGTGTGTCTTTTCTGCCGTCCCTTCCTGGGGGCAATGTGTCGTGGCAAATAGTGTTTATTGTGAGTCGTGTTTAAACATCTTTTTCTTTTAAGAAATAAAACTTTTTTTTTTATTGTCAAAAAAAAAAAAAAAATGAAATGTCCCGGTTTCTTCAATGAATAATCTTGTAACCCTAACTTGGGTCCCTACCTCCACAAAAATGTAAATGGTCAATAAAATGAAAAGTGTATATTATTTATTGTATACTTACAACAAAATCCGTGTTAAACATGAAAAAAATGCCTCCCCAAAAACAGCAAATCACAACTTACATAGATAGGCAACTGCCCAGCGCGCCCATGCGTTTAGAGGGCCCTGCTGCTTTGGGGTATTCATCATTATATTAATTATAAAGTATATACAATTATTCACAAAGTAGACGTATATGTGTAGAGGGAACTGTATACCCGGGTGAAAATCGACTAGATTTTAATAATAAAAAGGCAACAGATATAAGTCCCGCACCAAATACAACTATTGAGATTGATTTGATAATGTTAATATCTTGGCGTGCTCCACCACCTAGTTCCAGCTCTTTTGATTTTTTACTTTGAGGATACAAATTATCCAGGACCTGAAATCACACACAAATTCATAGAAGAATAATTAAACGGTACAAAATATCTAAGCATTACGATAGGCACATAATATACAATACAGCATATAACTAAATGGGGTGAAATAGAATGGTGTTTAACGTTCTACTGTTCTGCACCCACAGCCGGGATATGCCCGGATAGCGGTGCTACGATCTATAACTTTTATTTAGAATTCTAATTGTCAAGGGTTCTTTTACACGTGTACAGGTTGGCCTGTCAAGCGACCTCTGATTTTCGTCAAAACCGAACGACCAGACATCGTTTCTTGCCAGGACCTCCGTCTGCACCCCTAAACTACGTCGGAAAATCCCGAGGAACCTTTTCGGCCAACACCGGAAGCGCACCCGAGATCCCCAAGCTAGCGGGCCAGAGTCTTATTCACTAAGCCACCACGGCTCCCAAATTCATAAAAGGAAAAATAAAAGCTAACATATTTAAGAATAACGATAGACACTTAAAGCCCTACCGTATTGGGCTAATCTGGAAAACACCATGCAGTTTGCTATGACGGGGATTTTGCCCGGAGGGTCCACTAGCTAAAACGTGATTTTTCGTACAATCAATGGCCATAATCCAGGAAGTTAGGTCTGATATATCAAACTGAACAGAGATTATTCGGATATAAACATATGTTTTAAGTTTCATCAAAAATCATATAAAAATTTTGACCTCAAGAAAGTCCCCAACCTTAGCATTACATGCATGCTTTTATACTTTTTATGCGCCCACATTGAAATGTGGTCGTATGTTGTCGTCACCCCGTCCGTCCGTCCGCCGGCCCGTCCGTCCGTCGCGCGGCGTCCACAATTGCTTGTAGACGCTCTAGAGGCTAAAGTTAATATCTGATTGACTTTAAATTTATGAACAGTGTTTAAGGTCATGAGACGAAGAAGCCTATAGATTTTTAACAATTTCCAATAATTACTGCCAGAGTTATAGCCCTTGATCACTTCAAAATATCTTGTGGACAACCTAGAGACTAAAGTTAATATCCGATTGACTTTAGATTTATACACCGTGTTTAAGGTCATGAGACGAAGAGGCCTATTGATTTTCAACGATTTCCGATAATTACACTTTAGAGACTATGGTTATCATCTATTTGATTTTAAACTTATACACCGTGTTTACGCCTATATTATAATCGTTTCGATTGACTTTAGATTGATACCGAGTTTAAGGTCTTGAGACGAACAAGTATATTGATTTTCAATGATTTTTGATAACTTGAACAGCTAAATCCATGATATTAAATGTTTTGTATATTAAACGTTAGCATGGGCCAAACAAATTCTAATGTTTTTCTGATAATTACTTAATGAGTTGTTACTCTTGAACAGATTTTAGTGTACTATAAATGTTTCATTTCCGACAAAAGTAAAAATATGCGACAACTCTTGTTGACTGCCTGGACGATTAGCTGCTGTGGGTGTATGTTTCGTTGCCTGGCAACCTATCTTTGCATAAAGTGGAATTTTCGTCCGATTTTCACGAAATTTGAACGTGATACATATATTTTAAATTTCATCAAAAAATTTTAGCTCTAGAGGGTCCACAAACAAAAGGCGCGACAACAATATTCATCCACATGAAAATGGGCTTATAAAAATCTGTCTGTTCTCTATTTGTAATATGCAGTTGGGATTCGAAATAAGAATAGGCCGTTGTGCAGCTGTCTGGGCAAAATTTTCCTCAAGGCACACTGTATGGCGTATGCCCGTCTCCATTAGCCCATTCGTCGTAGAACAGTGGGATGTTAAACCTAATTTCACTTCATTTCAGAACAGTACAAATATATACTTTTATACGCATAATACAGATTTATACATTGGCACATTCAAATTTCTTAGATTATCTTGATTGTATGCTACTGCATGTAGATCTGTACACATTATCGATCTTAAAAACAGGTTGTGTAGGTGCAGAATATTTCACTATCTAGATTTTCCGGCGTGGTTCCTCCTTGTCAGTGATGCAGGACGGAGGGCCTGACAAGGACAGCTGTCTAGTCGTTCGGATGGGATAAAAAACCGAGGTCCTGCCTACACGGTAATTAATTTTGTAATGGTTGGATGTAAACGACTGATTTTTTTTTTACGAAAACAAGAAAATTAATTTAAATTGGGGAAAATCAAATTGATTGTAGATCTTATTTGATTAAGTGACCCTTCCTACAGATTTTAGTAGTTATTTGGCTTCCTTCATTTTGTTTGTCTTGAAAGTCAAAGGCCAGCAGGCAAAATAATTGACCATAAAGACCTGTAGCTCCTCCCACTTTTTTTTATGACGTCACCTTAGATACCATTGACTGACACGCCCTAAAACAACGTTTAAATAAAATCTTTTTGTTTGAGAATTTTTGAAAGAGAAGAGTATTGTTAGTTTGAAGTCAAACATACTATAATGAAAAATATTTTTACGAGGAGAAGCTGTTTTGGGCGAGTGACAGATCAGCATTCAATGTGTCACCGAGGTGTCAAGAGAAACAGATTTGACGTCAAATAAGGGAAGTAACAGACGTTCTCTATTCCAGTCAGGATGGGGTTACAAGCAAATTCTATTTGTATGCCGACTGGGAGATTGGTTAAGTTCAGTGCAGGCCCGGTCCAACGAAGTTGATAATGACCAAGTGATAGCGTTTCAGGGTTGACTTGTAATTAATAACGCTGCAAAATTACAAAGTGCATCTGTGTCCGGTATATATTTGAATAATGTAGCAGGCACCAGCTGCTTCTAACTGTCCATTAGTTGATCTTTCATGGCGTTTCAAACAGGCCCTATTGCTTATTAGAAATGGAGAACGGGATATGATGTGAACGAAGGCATGGCAATCACCCGGAAGTAGATTAGACATGACATTCTTAATTACCTGTATGCAAGATACGCCCACATTTTGCAAGAGATGGACAGCTAAAAAGGGTTAGTGCTAAATGATAAGGTCAGTTCAATTTTGGGCCTGACATGTGTCAATATCAAAGGGAACAGAGTTCTTTGGGATATAAACATACATTTTAAAGATACATGATGGGAGATTAGAAAAAAAGCTGGCAGTTCTCACTTTGATAGTTAAAATATAGATGATGAAAATGAATTATGCTGAAAATTTCAGTCAAATTGTTTCACTCTAAGCCGAGAAAATCTTATTTTAAAACCTCTGTGCCCCGATTGTCATTGTTACCTCTTACAAAGTCTTGTTTATCCTTTTTTGCGTTTAATCATCAACGGCCGTTGAACAGCAGATCGGACTCAAATCCAATGAAAATCGGACCCATAAGATGGCATCGAGAGTTGACTATAATAGTTAAAAAAAATAAGGTAAATTGAATATGCTGACAATTTCAGTCAAATTGCTCTACTCTGAACCGATATATTAACTTTTGAATTTTAGGCTAGCCTCGATGATCATTACTTTAAAAAAAACAAAGACTCGATTAACCACCTTTACGTTTAATCATCCTTCACAAAATGTATTCCAATCCGCTAAGTATCGCAAGCTAGCGATGGAATAACATTTCAGGCCTGCAATAGACAGATTTAGTCCTTGCATAATGTATGTTTAATAGTTTATAGATCATTTATAGTGTCCATAAACAAAATGTGGACGGACGGGCGCATAGGGGCGACGACAATATACGTCCACATGAAAATGCGGGCTTGTAAAAATAAGCTACCTCATTTGCGGCCCTGCAACCAGATTGAACGGCACCATTCATAAATCCACACCATGCGGTAGCTGTTTCCGTTCCCGCGAAATGGACCCTAGAAATTAGATATTAGACAAATTCTTAAGTCCATATCGGAAATCTAAATTATCTGCAAATTTAAAATCTGCAGTTTATAAAGAAAAGGTTACAGTCAGCTTCACTAATACACTATTTGAAAGAGTCTTATAATGACGTTTATGATGGGGTTTATGCTGACTTGACTTAGTCCGACAGAACTATGGCTGAACCATGAAATTGTATACAAAGTTGTTTCTTTTTTTAGGATTGCTTTTAGTAGTCTAGGGTGTCCTCTTTCAGAATCTACCGGGTGAACCTCGGTAACCCTTGAGCGTTTTTAGAAATTCAAGATGGCGCCCAAGACGGCCGCTATTTCAAATAATCCGCTATAACTCCCATAGTATTTGGTCAAGGATGATAATTTTGGTGTCTAACCGTATGTTTTTTGGACCAAGGAACACTGAAATCGTTCATTATGTTGTCGGGTGATTAGATGATAGTAAAATCCAAAATGCCAGACAATATGACCCTTTAATTCGATAGCGGCGGTTGGGGGCGATTTGTTTCACCAAACCAAACTACATGTATATCAAAAGACGAACTATATATGAGCATAATGTGATACGATAACACCACACACATAGTTCCAGTTTGAAGCACTCTCATTCTAAGATTAATTATTGTCTGGCGTGAACAATTAAAGGCTCTTGCTCTATGCTGGTCAATCTGTGGTCAGTGTTGCAAGAGCCTTTAATTGTTCACGCCAGACAATAATTAATCTTAGAATGAGAGTGCTTGAAACTCGAACTATTGCCGACCGCCCAAGGGCGGGAGCGCCACGTGTGGCGTCACTCCAGGGGAAGATCAAGCAATACGATTACGTCATCTTAGAAACAGATTTGTCACTGCAACCTCCACAAGTAGAGAGATTTTTGGTGGAAGGGTAACTGCACAAACTGTTCGAAATCACTTGCAGGCTGCTGGTCTTCGAGCTCGGAGGCCCTATAATGGACCAATATTGACAGCTCTTCATCGCCGTAACCGACTTGTGTGGGCCACAAGACACATAAGATTTACTCAAAGACAGTGGAATTCGGTTGTCTTTAGTGACGAATCTCGATTCACTTTGAGATTTGCCGATGGCAGGGTCCGAGTGTACCGCGGACGGGGTGAACGTTACGCTCAAGTGTGCGTCAGAGAAGTTGACCGATTTGGTGGCGGCAGCGTCATGGTTTGGGGTTCTTTTTGTGCACATGGACGTTCTCCTCTTGTTGTTGTCCAAGGGAACTTAAATGCTGTCCAGTACAGGGATCAGATTTTGGAACCTGTTCTTCTTCCGTTTATGCAGAGACATGGGCCTTGACTAACGTTTCAACAAGACAATGCTCGACCCCATACAGCAATTGCTACCCAGAATTTTTTAAGAAATGCCGGTGTCCAAGTCCTTGATTGGCCGTCGCTTAGCCCCGACCTTAATCCTATTGAACACATCTGGGACGAACTGTGTCGACGTGTTCGTCAGCAAGTGAATCCACCACTGACGTTGCAGGACCTTCAACATGCTCTTGCTGAGCAGTGGCGACGTCTTCCTTGGGTAGTGTTTACTAATGTTCTGAGATCCATGAGAAGACGTTGTGTGGCAGTACGAGACGCTAGAGGAGGCCACAACCGTTACTAAACACTTTATTCCGATTGTTCTCCAAGTCTGTGAATTTCATTTTGGGGGGTACTGTGACATCACGAACGTTATCAATGTCAAGGACTTTCGGCGAGACGTATTCTTGCTTTCTGTTGATGTCAAGGTCATCTATGCACAAGATAACACTAAAATAGTTGCCTTAAACCAAATATTAAAAATCTAGTCCCAAAAATCCCGAGTGTCAAGTTTTTAATTTGGCTGAGTATAGTTTGGTTTGGTGAAATAATGGCCCTCAACCGCCGCTAACGAGTTAAAGAGATATATTGTCTGGCATTTTGGATTTTACTATCATCTAATCACCCCACAACATAATAAACGATTTCAGTGTATTCCGTGGCCCCAGAAACATAGTTTAGACACCAAAATTATCATCCTACACTAAATACTATTGGAGTTATAGGGATTATCTGAAATGGCGGCCGTCTTGGGCGCCATCTGGAATTTCTCAAAACGCTTAAGGGTGGCCGAGGTTCACCCGGCAGATTCTGAAAGAGGACACCACAGGATACTAAAATCAATCATAAAAAACTATCTATACAATTTCCAGGTTCACTCGAAATATTAGGTTGGGCGATCGGACTATAAAGCTTATTCTCTCTCTTTTTTTGTGTTTCGACCGCAGGGGTTAACCAGGTGCTAACCGAGGCTATAAGATTTACATGGTTATGTATAGGGTCAAAACCTCTGTAGTTTAATTCGTAAAATAGATTTGTTTAGACTGAATGATTGTTAATAAATTACATTCTAAATAGTTTTCTGAGATCTTACTTTTCACATACGACGTAAGTGTTTAGATAGACTGATTATTATTAGTTACCTTCCAAATGGTTTTCTGAGATCTTGATTTAAATAGTTAGTGGTTCCTGGAATAAGAGATTTCAGAAAACAACCACCATTGAAAGGTTCCTTGCTCCAATCTTTTATTGCTATATCAATATAGTTCCTGGCAGGATCACCTAGGATACATGCCAATAGACCGAGAATCCTTTCCTCGTATTCTTCGTCCTGAAAGATAATAATTATTTTTTGATGATTACGTCCAATGTAAGAAATTTATACAAACAATTTACTGCGTTTTTGGTTTAGATGTACAGGACATCTTTTAATGTGACAGAACTAAAAATATATGGAGATATTGCTTTAATTTGAAACAAATATTTATACGATATCGGAGCTAGGATTCGATTTCACTACTATTCAATATAGTAAATGCATTCATGATGGATTCGTAGTACCGTAATAAAACTTTTATATGAGTATTACAAGAGAATGACTAGATTAGTAGGTCGTAATTGACGGACATATTGGACATCTGAGATACGACATCATGTCCAGTATTCTATACTTACATTGCTTTGATCCCCTTTTACTGGTGACAAGAAACCAGCAAGAGCAGGATTACCATTTGATGATGTAGCATCATAAACAATTCCAACAGCTCCTAGCTTAGGATCTTCCAGAACGTTTTGGAATCCGAAATGCCCATTATTACCACCATCCCAAAACTCCTACCAAGAGAACAGTGATACAATAATAAAGTTTTATGGTGTATACCCAGTGGCGGTGGCAGAGTGTGGAATACGCTCATACAGCAGCGTTGTCTCGCTTGTCCGAAAGGAAAACTTGGATGCTGATCAAATTTCATAAGGATGTATTATGATCCTTGAAGAATTCTAATCCTTAGGATTCGTCCTCTTATAACACTAATGCCTCACACCCGATTTGAAAAACATCATGTTAAAGACTACAGCCTCTATCATGTTCACAAGGTTTTCAGCAAAGGGGGATAACTCGGAAATGGAAAGTCACTGTACACTAAATATCGATAGGGGTTTTCCTCACATGACAAGAAAATTGTTGACGGACAGACCGATGGGCAGGGTGAGGTATGAAAATGAAGTAAAAATTCCTACATCATATTTTACACACGTTGTCGGGAATATAAACAGTTATTGGGGGAGCCACGGTGGCACACTAATCCGTAAGTGCGGGTTTCAATCCCGGTGTTGGCCTAGACAATCAATGGGGGGGGGAGGTGTCTCTCCTGTGAGTTGGACATAAAGGGGGGAGAGGTGCTCATGGCAAGGCACAGCATCTAGTCATACTGATGGGACGAAAAACCGATTTCCCATGTACATGTTGGCGTGCCCGTAAAAGAACCCTCGGCAGTTGAAATCCAATTGCTTCCCTCGTTGTCCATCTTCATTATCCCAGTTGGTGCAGAAAAGTAAGACGTTAAGGCCTCCCTTTCTACGACTCAATTCACGAAAGATGTGTACAAAATAATAGACGTAGGTCTACCATGCATCGGAAGCTACCAAAGGAAACACTCAGCCTTATCGTACCATTCATTATTTATCATCGTCAAACATTTACCTGTTCGTACGTCACAGCAAATTTAACTAGAAATCCTAACGGTACACTCTGTAATAAAGTTAACTGTTCTGGTGGAAGAGTTGGTGTAAAGGATATGGATGCTGAAAGATGGAAGTCAAAAAGAAACTGTCGAACTGCATTACAAAATCATTTCATGATAAACGACTTTTGTAGGCAATTATACATTCTCATTTTAAAATTTCTACTGAAGCAATGCTGTCTTCATTATCCCACTCGGAGCAGAACAGTGGGACGTTAAACAACCCCATTTCATTTCATTTATAGAAGCAATGAATTATTTTTATTATTATCTGAATAGTAAAAATAATTATTTTAAAAATACAAGTACGAGTGTAGTATGGGACAGGAACCGAAAATGAGTAATCGCAGCCATCAACATAGAATTGTGGCGTAATATCAAACATCGATGCCCAATGTTGATCGTACTTGAAATGACGGAGCTTTAGACTTTGGGGACTTAGTATTTTGGGTAGATATTAAAGTTACTGAACCGTATTAACCATCTTTAAAACTATAGATTATATTATTCTCATAATCTGATGGGGTTTGGTTTTTGTTTGTTGTTTTTGGGTTTTTGTTTTAATACATAAGACAAATAGTCGTTTCATCCTTACTAATTTGATGCGGAGGCAAAGCCAAAATAACTCGTCGACATGATAGCTGGATACGATTACCGGTAATAACAGCAACCATTTCTGAATTCTGAAAGTTTAAAATTAAAATACGTTTTGAAAACAATTCCCGCTACGAAACATCATTTGCAGTTTGTATAATGACAGTAGTCAAACGGACAACAGGGATAGCTTTTAACATCTCATTACAATATCCAGTCGTTCAAACCTATAGGGAGGCCAGTTTTGTCCGACTACGTTACCTAGCATTAGGACGCGCATATCATTACGTATACTACGCAAAGTAGATTCCTAGCTTTACTCCTGAACGTAGATTCCTAGCTTTACTCCTGAAAGTTGTTACGTTTCTATGTGTCTTACCTGAACAATATTTGTTACTGCCTGATTCAGCAAAACCTTGACGCTTCCTATTTTATGGACCAAGTTTGTGGCTAATTGTTGCAGTCCTCCCTACATTAAAAACAACAACAGAAAAAATAAACATAACATGAAAAACAAACCCATCTGCGTCTAAAATTCTACTACATGTAAATAAAACATTTAAAATTGAAAAGCATTTAAACGCTAGATTACCGAACAGGTACTTATCTTTCTGACTATCTATGAATTAGCTAGGATACTTTGGACTCTCGTATGAGTAGCCATAATGAAATGCTTTTGCGAAATCGAGCTAAATTTGCTGGGACCTTGTTTACCACAACACTAACTAAAAAATGTCTAAAACTATTTAGTGGGTGCGGGGAGGTAATGTATATAATCAACATCCGTTTGTCTAGATTTGCGAAAACGCCCAATATCGATTTGTATCTACGGTTATATATTTTAATAAATAACATTTCAACCATGGGCAATACTTCTGATTTAAATTTAAAATGAACAAGCCTCATGTTCATCCCATTAGAAACTAAGTCAAGATCTTAATTCTGATGAGCGTGTACCAGGGCCTATTTTAACGTGCCCACACATACGGACTTTGCCTCGAAATGAAAACTCCGTGCTTCGAGAATCATAAATCCGTTTAAATTTCGTGTTCGTGTTTTGCATGTAAGTCTGCAGGTTACAGTAACGGTTCGTCTGCTTTGGGACGTTTCTGTGGACTGCCAATGATACCGATAAACAGCTATAAATACAAATCAGTAAATTAGTTTCACACTAATTAGTGCCTCAATTTTTGTCTGTTTTAGTTGTTGGGGATCAAAAGATTGAATTAGATTTTGATGCAACTGCTTGGGTTATGGCTTTACATACACCTATTGTAACAGTTCATGAGCTTTCTAGTGTTATGAATTGGAAACATGGGAGGGTTAGTGCTAAATAAATGATAAGGCCAGCTCAATTTTCGTCATATGTCACGAGATGTAAACAGGGTTAGCGCTAATCCCAACCCTAAACCTAACCCTGATCCTAGCCCCAATGCTTACTCTAAACCTAACCTTCAATCTCACCAACAACGACCTCAACGACCTTGACAAAATTTGAGCTGGCCTTAACAAATAGATTTAGCCACATGGGGCGCTAATCCTAATTATAGCATTCCGCGATCTTGTGGAAGCGATAGAGGCTACCACTTTAACCGTGGGGTTTTTTCAAATTTTGTGTGAAACATTTGGGGAGGACACGGCAAACCCCATCGATATTCAGCGTTCGTGGCCTTCCGCTCTCAAGTTATCAAACTGTTCCAAAAACGCGATATAGGCTACAGGTTCATATTCGATGTGAGGCATTGGGTCCCTGCTCATCTCTTACAAAATCTCGGCGTATCGTGTATGGCAACCACTTGTTTGGTTATAAAGGTGTAAGCGTGGTGATAATTCAGGAAGGTTTTATTCCACTTCTGGCGAGGTTTTGTTTTGGTCACGACTAATTGGTCACGATCTCAGAAGGTTTATTCTGGCATGGTGCTGATAAAGGTGATGGAAAAAGCTAAATTGAGTCTATCAAGTTCTGTATGGGAAATCGTGAGTCACGTTTTGGAAATTTTGTCGGAACCCAAGGAGGGAAATACCCACCACAAAAACCTCCACCTCCAGAAACCGTGATTCGTCAATAAAACCTTAAATAGGCCCTGGCGTGTATAGTGATAATGGACGACAATTAATACGTGTGGATATAATTACCAGAACAAGTTGGTGTTGCGACGACTAAGGTTATGTATCATAGTTCTAATAGGACGACGAGTGCAGTCTGCCAATGTTCAAATAGTAATAAACTTGCCTTGACTCTATAGTCCTTCCCTGAGTATTCATTTGGTTTTGTCACCTTGTCTAAGCCGCCTGCTGAATCAATATACATTAAGAAATAGAGTAGACTCATTTCATTTGGCGCCAAACCAAACATACAACGGCATGCAGAATCAACTACACTTTGGGAACCTAGATTGAGAAAAATACAAACTTTATTATGACACCATTAGATATAATGAATTTCTATAAAAATTTCTACCTTTAGATATAATGAATTTCTATAAAAATTTTATAATAGATATTCTGTACATTATTCATTAATAATAATAACACATTTTGTGCCATTTGACAAAATTGATTTTCAAAAAGACGGACGTCTACTTCGATTAAGTAATATGTAGATAAATTCTCTACTTTTCTAGAGGTTTTAACACACTTTATGCCATTTGACGAAATTGATTTTCAAAAAGACGTTCGTCTATTTCGATTAGGTAATAGATAAATTCTCTAATTTTCTGGGGGTGGGGGGAAGTATGGAGAGGAAGGGGGGGGGGTGTTTCATAGATTTATGAAGCTGTCTATTCTTAAATAATATCTGGTAACTAACCGGATGTCCACACTTGTTCTGTAATATAATTCTCCACCGTTATTTCATCCAATTGTTTCATTGTTGCTGAATCATTTGACTTCTGGTGATGTTCCATTAGGATCTTTAATCTTTTTAACTATATGACGGAATTAAAAACTATACGATTAGTGCCAGCAATACTGGAATGTGCCTGTCATCGTATTATACCCGTTACGATGCCAACCGGGAACATGTTCTTAATGTTCATACAAATGGGGCTGGGTGCATTTTAGACCATAAGGTCTGTAATTGAGCCAAGTGGCGTGGTTTCAATGCACATTTGTACGTGACAAGGAGTAGGGTAGCCTGCCTATCCTTGTGGATTTCCTCCCACTGTCACGACCCCTACATCCCGAAATGACAAATTTTGTTTTAAACCGCATTTCAGTTTTAATTTGGGGGGTTGGACGGCCGAATGGTTAGCACGTGCGCGCTGCGCTGTATCATACGGTCTGTCATTGAGTCAACTAGCGGGGTTTGGATTCCCCGGTTGTACGTGACAAGGAGTAGGGTCGCCTGTCCAACCTCGTGGGTTTTCTCCGGGTCCTCCGGTTTCATCCCACTGCTAAAGACCCCTACGCGCAAGCGAATTTATTGAAATAAAATTGAACTATGTGTTAGTCCCGAAATGACCTAGTTTGTGTCGATTGGACTTTAAACCCCATCTCTCTCTCTCTCTCTCTTTCAGTTCTAATTTAAGTTATGGTCATCTTGCGATCTTTCATATTTTAACTGTAAGTGTGATTTAAAAATGCTTAAAACAGTTTCTTACCTTCCACATTAAAAACTTAAGGTCAAGTTGTGTGGTCCATGGTATTGGTGTAATTGCCCCTGCTTCCGTCCGCATAAAATTGTCCATATTCAACTTTCGCAGTAAAGTCCGAAGATGGACCTGTGCCCTACGAACAACAAATAACATATTATGATAATATTTTTTTTTGAGTTCGTTGTTTATCCATGCATTGTTCTTCAATTTCAAAGCAAGTCTATCTGTCTAGAACATTCCCAATGCTTTGGTTTATCATGACTGAGGCTGTATTTAATACGTAGTCTGTCGTCATGCATCTTCAATATAAGACTTGATCTCGCTTTAACTCCGTGGCCAACATCATATCAAGGCCTTCACGTATCAATCTACATTTTTCGTCAGTGATTTCGATTGGTCTAGGACCCAGCTCTAGACCCCCACCCACCCATCCCGATTCATGCAGGGAATATCATCGCGAATACCAGGCCTCGCACTTTCCAACTGAAATGTCTACCTGCGATAACCTCAGCTTTTCTGCTATGATTATGTTATGAACCATTTCAAATCTTAGTCCAAACCTTTCTTATTTACTTTCCTGTTCTTCCATTATGCTAATAGGTTTGCTTTTCTTTAGTTTTCCGTATTTTTTTTTTAACGGATAGAAAACATTCAACGGCTGTATCTATTCCTGTACGTATTTGTATCACCACGACCTCTGATTGGACGTTATTGTTCACGTGCCTGCGGTAGAGAGAGATAACGAACCTAAAAGTTCGAAATTTCAGACTAAGATAGCAACGCCTAGATGTTGTAAAACTAGCTTCAGGAACATGGCCTTCATGCAAAGGTGAATTTATATTTTTAGAAACACTATTATAAGACCTACATAAATATTTTGTTAAAAAAAAAGGAATTATTTTGTATTTTCACGATTATCTATACCATGAACTGTAAAATGATTCTTTGTAACTAAGCAGTTTATGAATAGCATATATACCTCTTCATACGGATACAGTTTGAATATTACTATGACTATAAATATTAGAATTGTTCATCAATTATTAGTATCTATATGTAGGGCTAAATACTATAACAAGACAAATTAATATGCAACAATTGTCATAATCATGCTGGTTTTCCACTAGCGATAATATTGCTTAGAAATGTTCTTTAAAACTTATTATGCGCTTGTGCGTTAAACCTGCCCCAATGTGCTTTATGGTATAGGACGACCCTCACGACCACCATTTTGAACTGAAATTATTGGGATATGTTTATTTTCTTACCTTCCAACCCATTCTCCACCCACATCCCATAAATCAACACAATCACCGACTGATTTTAGCTGAACAGTTTTAATTCTTCCACCAATTCTATCTGAAAAACAAAACATTCATTTTTACAATAAATGCGATTATAAATACATGTACATCTAAAATATAGCATCTTGGTTTTCATAAGGTGAAGATGGCAACAGGAAACAAGTCGGTTCACAACTATCTCAATCCCCTTTCGCAATTCATAAAAAAAACCTTAGAAAGTAGGAAGTTAAACCCCATTTTATTTCACTTTATGTTTTTTTCGCAATTCTTGGGGTTCGTTTTCTTCAAATGTCATCAAAATTGTACAACCGTTAATTGTTACCGCATTTAAAATTCTAAGCACATCAGAGTTACACCCAGAGTATAAGAATTTACCGACTCGTAACAAACGATTGATTATTATTATTTTATATACCTCAGACGTATAAAATGGTGACATGAAATCAATAGGAACTAATGTAAACTCTGAAGCAATTTGTATAATATTGTGACAAAATGTTCTTTACAGCAAGGGAGTTACCGTGGCTCAGTGGGTAAGACGTTGTCTAGCTAACCTGGAGGTCCCGTGTCCGATCCCTGTGTTGACCGAGAATGTTCATTGGGTTTTCCGATGTGGTCCCCCCTTTGTCAATAGTGTGGGACCACGGGCCTAACAAGGGACAACGTATAGTCGTTCGGATGTGACGAAGACCTGAGGTCCCGTGTGGACATTGGTGTGCACGTAAAAGAACCCATGTCAGATGGAATTCGATATAAGAGTAGGCCGTAGCCGTAGCGCCGCTGTCCGGGCAAATTTCCCTCATCGAACACTTGTGGCGTATGCCCATCTTCATTAGCCCAGTCAGAGCAGAACAATGGGACGTTAAACACCATTTCATTTCTTTACTGTACGGGGAAATTTGGTTGTGTACAGTTTTAGCGTCGGCATTTTATTTATATCTTTGCGTAAAAGCTTTTCACATTTAGCTATATAGGCCTATTATAGATTGATAAATGGTGATATAAATAATAGTTTAACCATTGTACGTGATACACATCTCGTCTGGTCAAAATAACCTTATAGAAACCACTTACAGCAATTATCACGAATAGGTTATATAATAGGTTTCCTTTTGGGGGGTTGCGATCTTTACAATACAATTCCTTTATATGAGCAAATAGTACGTCTGTCTTAATTGATTTTCTTAATATCTCACACTGACCTACCTTTAGCTTCTAAAACAACTATCTTCAAGGAATCCTGTTGATCCAATAAATGGTAGGCAGCAGCAAGACCCGATAAACCAGCACCAATAATCACTACATCTGCATTTATTTTATCCATATTTTAAAGAATGGCCACAAAAAATTAAATATCCAAATATCTCACTGTTCAGTAAAGGTCGTAGTGTTCATATCGTTACGTGATAAAACTTGACGACTGTGTCTCAAGTCAATATGTTTATCTGACACGTGACATTTTGTTTGTTGAATAGAAACTTCACCTTGAATAAAAACTCGTTGAATTTGCATTAAAACATAAGATGAAGATTTGGCATAGTTGTAATTATAACACAGGTGTGGAGCTAATATTTACAGCGTTTCATCTACTGATATGTAATTTCTTTATGATTCATATAATTTATGTGGACGAATATATATATCAGTTAAAGTCTTTAATTAAATGGGGTCATAATCAACCATAATAACCCCCTATAAATCTATATTTAGCTCCCACAGCAAAAGACCACTACGAACAGCAAGCGAATTATTGAAATAAAATTGAACCATGTGTTGGTTTTTTTTCGAAATTACCTGGTTTTTAAACCCCATTTCTCTTAATCCTTATACCGACACGAACGTATAGGTACGAACGTAAAGTATAGTACATCTACGAGTATTAATGATGAGATAAATTGGTATACAGTTTGGGAAATTATAAACATCGTGATGCTACAGTTGTTAATTCAGTTCAATTCAATGAGAAAATATAAATTTCAGACTTGGAGCATAGCGTACATGCTGTTATGTGTTCACCCTTTCGGTTTTGTTTATTTTTTGTTATCCAACCCACTTTCTATTTATTTGTTGTTCTGTAGTCTCGACCACTTCATTCCAAATTGTTTGCGCTACTGACTTCGAGACATGGTAAAATAATAAACACAGTTTAGTTTTATGGATAGCAATCTCTAGGAACATTAATAGTGTGACATTTCTCTTGTCCTTATACTCGTTGAAACGTCACGCTATTAAAGTTGCCAGTGATTGTAATCCATAAAGATGTGTTCAATATGATTTAATGTTTCCTATCACTACATGCCCTAGGTAGTATTGGTTACTATTGGGTAAATCGTCCCGCCATTAATTTCTCCATTCACTTCGATGTTAAATTCCCGAAGTTTGACATGTATCCCATTTCCAGAATTCCAGAATTTCGTTGAAATTCTTTTCTCTCTTGGTTAACCAGTGTCAACTTTTACCACGGCCATGCAGGATTTTCGACAAAAATGATTGTTTCAAACAATTCATCCATTTTGCAATTGATTCATAAATAAATTTGTAGTCGGGTGTATACTCTTGAAGGTATATAATGCTTCAAATCTGCTATGTGTAGGATAAAGCGCGAGACTGAAGGTATGCTGGGGAAAGGAAGGGTGAAGAAAATAACCCCAGAAAAAGTCTTTCTTCCCCAGCATAACCGAAGTCGAGGACTTTATCTTGCTTATAAACCGTCTATGTTTATGAACGTAAAATGAGAATGTCCCAGAACTTCAGTAAGAAAAACCTTTTATCATGTTTTCTTATGGAAAAAAAACTACAGTTAAGAATAACCCGATACAGGTTTAAAGAAAAACTCTCAGAAGAATAACCCCAAATACCTCTCTATATATTCAGACCGCAAGTTATTTCGGGCATAGAATATACCCTAAAGATCAAAGAGATCTACCGTTACAGATTTATAATTGAAGGATAAAGCACGAGACTGGGGTTATGCTGGGGAAAGAAAAGCTGAAGAAAATAACCTGAAAAACCGAAGTCGAGGACATTATCTCAGAAAAACCTTAGATCATGTTTTCTTATGGAAAAAAAACCTACCCTGGAAGAATAACCTGTTACAGGTTTAAAGAAAAACTTTCAGAAGAATAACCCCGAATTCCCCTAAATATCATAGCCGCCCTCGACTTTCACACCGCAAGTTATTCCAGGCATGGAATATACCCCAAAGATCAAAGAGATTTACCGTTATAAGTTTATAAGGACGGTCGAAGAACTAAAATATATTTATTTTGGAGTACATCTACTTATAGATCTACGAGTGTGTGAGTGTTTTGAGGGTGGGTGCGGTGGGGTGGGGGTGAAATATATAATGTAAATATAAAATGATCAAATACTATACCTAGCGGTGATTAAATCCCGCATTCCCACTCAATTACTTGCATGTTGTAGAGTCCGAGGACCTATTTTATTAATTTATAATATATATTATTAATATGCATATTAGTGTAGTGTTCGAGTACATTCAATTGGTCTCTTTGCCCGGCTCCACCTTTTTCCCAAACTTTCGTTGTCTGCATATGTTGGCCAATGAAATTTAGAGATACACAAACTTGAAGTAGCATAGGCCCACTGTAAACATAATATTGTAGCGAACTGGATCTCTGGATAGAGCGGTTTACTGTGGTAGAGTAGACCCGACTCTCTCCGTTAGTTCAGTTGAGGATTCACTACTGTAGAGGTGTGGGAGTAGCCAACCAAGGAGCTGGCTTAGAAAGACTAACACCAGATTAAAGGACAATATTGGTGTCAGTCATTATTATATATGTGATAGAACTGGTTAAATACATTCCAAATATAATTTTAACACAGAGATCATTGCTACGGGAGACGTGTAACAAGTACGTGGAGAAACGGGAAGTGACGCCAAACATGACAAACACGAGTTGTCCTTCTATATAACAGACTGAAGTAACGAGCGGTAAGAGACAAATGATCGAATTTCATTTCACTGATAATTCCGTTGAAGTTGAAAAGTTATTATATGGGACGATGAGAGGATATCTCACAATTCAAAAATAGAATTGGCTGTCACTAGATAAGGGACAATCCCTCGTTTTTATTCATTCTGTTCTTAATAAAAACATGGTAATGCACGGACTTTTTCTAATTTGTTCGTTATCTTTTATCTACTGACAGCCAATTCTTTTTTTGAATTGTCAGATATCCTCTCATCGTCTCATATAACAACATTTCATCTTCAACGGAATTATCAGTGAAATGGAATTCGACCGTTTGTCTGTTACCGCTCGTTACTTCAGTCAGTTATATAGAAGGACAACTCATTTACAATATAAATATGAATGAAAATATGGGCTACATAATAATAAAATCAGAGTTCTTAAAAATGTACAATTAAATTGAATAATTACTAAAAATTAACGAATAACAATAAGAAAACTAGATTGTCTAAACTGAGGACGTGGATCGGGCTATGAACGTGCGCTTCAGATCACCACATAATCACCGTAACCAACTTCTTAAAGTATCCAAAAGTCTTCGACATTGAAAACACGAATTGTTTGTCAATTTAAATCAGCATTGATGTTGTGATCTTACCGGGAAAAGATGGGTTTCTGACATCCAATATTTAAGACAAAATAAACATTTTACCATTGGTACACGAATCATGTACCATAATGCGTTTCGGCGCCATTTGTAACAAGGGATTTGAAGGACGAGGCTAGACATATTTCACAAGTGTCAAGCAGTGACGCCACATTCTGGAGAGCATGCGCAATAAATAGTATCCGTGTAGACTGGAATAACCAGACGATAGAGATTGTCATTTGATTGAGACTTCTGGCTACTTCTCCGAACATACCTGATTTGAAATTAGAGTAAAAACGGAAACAATTGAATGTAAATCAGTTTATATACATTCATATTACATTATTATATGCGCTGCGACCCATTTTTGTCAACCTTCAGGTTCCAAATATTAGCGATTTAGCTCCTTTAACCTGTTATCCTTCCGCCTCTAAACCATGCACATTTAGCCAAACCTGACAGAAAATGTATTAGAAGCAGTGTCGGATTCAGTACAAATGAGTCCCCGTGCTAGTTAAGTTATGAGGCCCTTTATGCGCAGAAAATTAAATTTAAGAGTAGTTAAAATATTACATGTTGCATGATCAGTCATTATTTTCAACAAGTTTTAGGCAAATTTTTGAAAAATTTGGAAGGAATATGCCCCCCTCCCCCTCCACCGGCCAACCTTATTTACATCTCAGTGACCTTGACAAAAATTGAGCTGGCCTTAACAAATATTGGTAATGTAAGCAAATTTGTACAATCAGTGAAATAAAGGCTTAATGATATTGATATCCAAGATTAGTCAGCTATGTTAATATCACATTCCTACTGAATACAGTAATTAGAGTTTCACACGGCGTAGTTTTTGTGAAACACTGTTGCTTTTGTTCGGATTTGCGAAAGTTTTCTTCGGCATTTTTTCGATATTAAAGATGGCGTATCTCCGTCACTATTTAAGGTACTAAGTTGAAACTTGGTAGGAATAAGGAACACATTGATGCCTTCAATATAGCGTATTAAAATTTTTTGTGACGGTTATCGGAAAAAGGAATTCCCAATTTTTAAGTCTGGACTCGTTGCCCGACTCCTACTCTTCTCCAAATTTCCGTTATGTTGAACGTTTTTCACTACAGAAGAGCAACAACCGGCCATGTCTTTGCTCCAAAGTCCGTTTGAGGTTGGAAAATGAAATTTTAAGATACACAAACTTGAGGCAACCAAACGTCTCTGTTATCCATCCGCCTCTACACCATGCACAAATTTACCAAATCCTGGCAGAATTTTCTAATTAGAACAAATATGCTCTTAAAAATGTAGTTTTTTTGCTGTAATAACCAGTTTCAAAATGTGCGTGTAAACTCTGCAATGATAACACAATATACAGAAACCTTTTCCAGTGTAGCAAATTTACAGGGGTGGCCTGAGAAGGAGCCTGTGTGTATTGTAGGCTCGGGGGTACCTAAAGAAGTAAATGTTATCGCGTAGTCTTTTTAAAACAAAAAAAAACAAAAAAAAAACCCGACCCCCCCCCCCCAAAAAAAAACCCCAAAAAACAAACAAACGATATTTATTCACAGAAACTGGATTGGAGAACAGACAGACGCCTCATCATAGAAGTAGTTAGGGGGTGTTTTTTTTAGTCTTGAATTTACGTCGTTAATGATAAGATGGTATTTACCATTGACATTCAGTTTTTTTTAAATGTCGCGCGCCCTGGGGGTTTAGGGGGGTCACCTCGGACCATTCTGGAGTGGGGACACCTCACGGGACCAGGTTCAAAGCCCTCCGGCCCACAATCTGTCGCAGCTAATTTAATAATTATCTGACGACTATATTTTTCAAGCATCTGTAGGGCTA